TATGATGATGATGTTCATAATATTATTATCATGCAAGTCAAATTTCTCAAAATCAGATCTCGCGGATCTGGAACACATGTGCCCTGGGCCGACGAAATGTAGCTAACTCTTAAAGATAAGTTAGAAAAAGAAAATCACACATTTTTCTACACTCGGCTCGCCCACAGGAACGAGCACATCGAGGTGCGTAGGGATGCAATCAGAACACAGGCGAAATGTGCCGCCATTGAGGCTATGCTACCAACACGCCTGCACCGATGGACAGTGTTAAAGGCAAGTGGTCATCTTCGTCACTGTCATCATCACTATAGAATCTAGTCGTCGTTATCGTCATTGTTATCATCATTATAGAATCTAGTCGTCGTTATCGTCATTGTCATCATCATTATATGATCTAGTCGTCGTTATCATCATTATCATCATCATTATATAATCTAGTCATCGTCATCGTCATATTATTTATGTAGTGAAATAGCACGAAAGTCTTGAAAATTGATACCATTAACAAAAAGTAGAATTTTTCAGAATGCTGCACATAAGATTACAAAATTGAATAAAGCAAACAAAAACAACCCCCCCCCCACACACACACACAGAGAAAAAAGCAGGAGTGGCAAATATCCCCAAATTTACACATCGACAAAAACTAAAATGGGCTGGTCACATCGGCAAAAATGAAGGATAACAAGTGGACACAAAGATGCACTGAATGGGGACCAAGAAGAGGAGAATGATCAGGAGGAAGGCAAAGGTGACGTCAGGGAGCGGACGGGTATAACCTGGAAAGGGAGAACAGCTGATAGAACGGAGTGGAGGTCATAGTAATCTGCCATGATGTGATGAAACACATTTAATACCTGCGTATCGACCATCCGTAATCAACTGTGATCTGATGAAACGCATTTTTTGGGTCAATCTCGGGAAGAAAAATGTGTTTTATCAGATCACATTGGAAATACATGCGTTTTAACTAATCTAAAATGCTCATTTATTTTTTTAAAACTAGTCACAGCTAGGCTTTCATAATTACATGTATATCTCAAGATTGCTTTCGACATGTAGAATCCATTCGTGGAATAAAAATTTTTCCCGACAAAATGAAAAAATGCGTTTTATCAGGTTGGTGGGCCACATCCTGCAGTGGGCGGACAACGCATAGAAATAAAGATATTTGTGTAGTAATGTTATCCGAATCAGAATAATAAGAATCAGAAGCAGTAACAACAGCACGTATAGGCGACACAATGTGCATGTTGCTACCTTAAAATTACAAAGTTCTATCTGGCATGTTGGCTGTTTTGAATTATTAAGCCAAGGTGGTCGGAAACCATATGTTCTGTCCGCTCTATTACAATCGTAAAATTATTTGGAGTCGTTATCAAGATATTCAAAGTATTGCTTTCGAAAAAAGCGTGACATGTGAAACTCTATCAAATTTTTTCGCCAAATTTCTCAAAATTAGGTGGGAGCAGACAAAACTTTGTAATTCCAGAGTAAAAGAGGAAAAACGATGTATCAGCGGGGCTGGCGATATCTTCCTTCTCCTCGTCAAAACCACTTAACCGTTATCCTCTGTGACAACACCACCCCCCCTTCCGACTGTATGATGTGAACGACCATCTGCCTTGTCCTTCCGCCTGTATCTTTCTCTGTCTGTCTGTCTGTCTCTCTCTCTCTCTCTCTCTGTGTGTGTGTGTGTGTGTGTGTGTGTGTGTGTGTGTGTGTGTGTGTGTGTGTGTGTGAGAGAGAGAGAGAGAGAGAGAGAGAGAGAGAGAGAGAGAGAGAGAGAGAGAGAGAGAGAGAGAGAGAGAGTGGGTGTGTCTTTCCATTCCCACTGTATAATGCGAAGTGCTATCTGCCCTTCCCCTTCCGTCTGCCCCCCCCCCTCTCTCTCTGTGGTTGGTTGGCGGGTGCTCTGAAGTGGTTTGCTTCTTTTTTTTTTTTCAAACGTCTGCCGGCTTTATCGCTCTCCCCTCCTTTTTTTGTGTTTGTTACTCTTTAGTAACACCTCTAATCTTCGGCACTGATATGATCTTATTGATTGTGTTGTAAGTGCCGTAATACGCTTATTAAAACTAAACCTCTCTCACTCTCTCTGTGCTCGTGTCTCTGTGACATACTACTCCCCCCCTTTCCCTCTCTCAGCCTGTCTGTCATCAACATAATTATTGTGGTGTTCTTCTGTCCCACAGGCAGAAGACCCATCACAGTATGAATTGCACATCAAAACTCGATTGTTGACGCGCAAACTTATCAAGAAAACAGTGGAAGTAATTCAGAAGGAGCAGGTACGTCTCTGAATGTGAGATGACTTAATTGCTGCTCTGGTTTGTGAGAACTGGACTCACAACTATAGTTCGGTCAAACATTCATGGTTCAACTTATTGTCAAATACAATCTCCTCAACTATGGAACTTAAGCTCTCCAGCTTTTGCACAGTGACTTATTATACCTGTACTTGTATCAATTTGTCTTAACAGATCAATATTTTTATAACCACCCGTTAGCTCTATTCTAAAAAATTCCTTTATACATAAATACTATTAAAAAATTCCAGTGGGTGGTTTCTACAGATTAAAAAAAAGGTTTACAGCTTTTACAAGCAAGTCCGTCATTTGTTTCTATTTGTGAGATAATGTTAATTGAACGCATGTTTTGAGAAATTTTAGTGCAAAAAAGTGTTCACTGTAAAATTAATTTCTTGCAGATCTAACTAGTTTTGCCACTAAAAAATGTCATTGGTGAGCTATGACGTAGGCCATATATGCCTATGCAAAATGTGTGTGAGAAGCGGGAAGTGCTGTGAACAATTCCATTTTCCGCGTGAGGGAGGTTTGTAGTATTTTATATAAATTTATGAAGAAACGTTTTTAAATCTAGCCTCAGTGGTTGTGGAAAAATTATAAAGTTAAGACAAATTGATACAAATTGCAGTGCAAAGTATGGGTGACATTGATTCGCCCGTTAAAACGATATAGATACGTTGCGCGACGAATTTTTGACAGCACTATAGATCAAGTACCCTAAATAACTTAAGACAAAAAAATCAGTGACTTTCGAAGGCAGAAGTCTTGTTCCAGCGGTTAGAGTCACCTAGAGTAACAAAGTAAGAAGGAAGTAGGACGGGAAGAAAGGTTATACACAAAAGTAAATAATACTAGCACGCAGCAATGTACTTTTGAGCAATACAATGTAGACTTGTGAGTCATTAGCCTATCGTGAGTCTCGAGATCTTTATCTACGTTTATCCAGTTGCCCTTTCCCTTTACCTGTCAAAAAATTTCAGCTTTCCATCCCTGATTGAGTCCCCCTGCCTTTGTCGTTACGCACCATTATGTTGTGACCACACCAGTTAAAATTCAGACGGTCTCACGAATTCGGGAATAGAGAAAAAACTGCCTTCAATGGTCAGGGAAGAGTTCACAGTTCGATGCAGTTCGATGTGATCCTGCCTGGAGCGAACTTGTAGGCCCTACCCACCCAGCGAGTGATGTAAGTTTAGGTGGCGAGCTCAGATGCGAGTGCCATGTTTGGGGAAAAGAAACGCACCGGTCAGTTCACACCTTGATGTGATCCCGTCTTGGGCAAACATTGTACAGTTTCATGGAGTTTTACAACGCTTGTGTGATCCCATTCACGAGAGTGGCTGATCTTTAATACGACGGGCCTTTCTTTGATCTCAACTTTTAACTCTTGGTTGATCGACTGTGCCCGCCCGGGTGTTTGTTCCATAAATTGTGATCAGAAATGCCGGCACCTATTCTTTCATTAAGCTTCAAAAGTACTCAAAATGTACTTTAAAATACTCAAAAGTACTTTTATAAAACGTATAAGTAACTGAGGCCAACACGAATAAACTATTCCTAGAGTTCATCGAGTACCGCACCTTACTGCATCCCAATAGCCTGCCGTTTCTTCAGTCATCTGTACTTTACTTTTTTTGCGTCCGTTGGTATTGGTGAGTGTTGCGAGAAGAAACTCTGTTAGCTGTGAGTCGAGTGGCTGGGGGGTCAGGTCGTGGACTCTAAGGGAGTCCTACAGAGCCTAGAGTCAATCCGAAGACGTCATATATTTTTATTCTGCTTGTACAATTAGAAAAAAAAAACGTGACGTTGTACTGGTTCTCAAAAATGTACCGGAGTACAGTAAAGGTATCGAAAATTGTAACGTAAGTTACCGGAGTAGTCTTGAAGTTCTAACAAAACAGGAGGGTGAGACAACACTGACTTGCAGTATCCAAGATGCATGGACCTCTTAGTAGAAGAGCCGTGATACATGAACGAGTCTGATAAAAAGGCACAACAATTTGCCAACTTGGCCAACGTAATTTACTATGAATTTGGAGATCAAATTGCTCTAGTTCGGAACCTGGATTCTGCGCAATGGACGCAGTCATCTGTACTTTACTTTTTTTTGCGTCCGTTGGTACTGGTGAGTGTTGCGAGAAGAAACTTTGTTAGCTGTGAGTCGAGTGGCTGGGGGGTCAGGTCGTGGACTCTAAGGGAGTCCTACAGAGCCTAGAGTCAATCCGAAGACGTCATTTATTTTTATTCTGCTTGTACAATAAGAAAAAAAAAGGTGACGTTGTATCTAGTATAATACATGTATATTTATTATTATTAACGACAACAGTTGAGTCATTTTGGCGCTTACGTATCTTACTTTTTAGCTTTTATCTCGAATTTTTCAACTGCCAGTTGGAGAGTGCTTTCTGCTTTATTCTCGATTAGTTGTTTTCTACTTCTTTTTCCAGTCTACGGATGAACGTGTATCTCCATGTATCGCCACTGACACTTTTTCGTCTCCAGTTAAGTGGTTATGCTGACCCTTTTGTACCTTGTTGTGTAATTTTTGTTCTTCATTTTACTCCAGATATGGATTTTAATTTGGATGCATCTTCTTTCACACACTGAACTACAGAATCAGAATATGATATTGAAAGATGTATACTATTGTATACATGATATCATCTTGAAAGATGTACAATTTACATTGTACGTGTGCATGCGTGTGCGTGTGTGCGTGCGTGCGTGCGTGAAGCCTAACTTGGCAATCATCTGGGTCAAGATAACACAAACTTTTCCCCTGCCATAAAACCTCAGGTTTGAGAAACTTTAAACGGCTACATGGAAACTGTGATGAGCTATAATGTGGATGACCCTGGTTCAAATCTGCAATGGGTCGTACCTAAACTTTTGGTTGTTTGAAGACGAGGCCTTATGCCTGCTTTGTTTTGTTTTGGTAAATGTTTTACGGCGCTCATATGAGCGCACTATGCCTGCTTAATCTAATCGAAGTGGACTACAGAGTCTGAGGGATCAGATTAAGCAGGCAAGATTGTAACAAACACAAAAAAGAAGGAGGAGAGATCAGGACGATAGAAGTTTGGTAGGAGAGAAGAAGCAAACCACACCAGAGTACCCGCCAACCACCCACCACAAAGGTTTACCACTGTTGGAGTTCTCTCCCTCCCCCTATTCCGGTTTCACCCCTTTTTTAAATACAGATCATCATGAAGAAAAACAGGCTGTTTATGGAGATGAAGGCGATGCTGGCCCTGAAGTCTCCAAAAGACCTGAGCAATCAAGTTGTGGAAGCAAGTAAAGCCATGGGCAGGAAAGACAGGCAGATTAAGGTGTGACGGTTGGAGGAGTGGGGGAGGGGAGGAGGGCGAGGGAGAGGGAGAGGGAGAGGGAGAGAGAGAGAAAGAGAGAGAGAGAGAGAGAGAGAGAGAGAGAGAGAGAGAGAGAGAGAGAGAGAGGTGTTTTTTTTTTTTACAGCAATATATACTTAGTTTTTAAAAATTTAATTAGCTCAAACTGGAAGTATGACTGGATTGTTTACATGTATAGACTCAAGAAAGACAAAAACTATAAGTCTAGATCATAAACGCTTATCTCGAAAAAAAAAGCCCATACATTTTTACGTAGGGATTAACTACATGTGTATATCAATACATACATCTTTTCTCTCCTGTCATGTGCCCCTACACACCTGGTCAGGACACAGAAGGAATATTTTATGCATGTCTGCGGGCGCGCACACACACACACACACACCTGTATCAATTTATCCATCAAAAGATAGATTGATTGATAGATAGATAGATAGATAGATAGATAATAAGATAGATAAGTGGATGGATGGATGGATGGATGGATGGATGGATGGATGGACAGATAGATTAGATAGGTATGCATACACAGACATCCCTTTTCCCAATCGTTTTCTGGGTGTGTGCCCAGGCCCTGAAAGCAGAGCTGACCGTGAGCATGTACAGTCACTCACAGGCCCAGAAAGAGGCGACTAAGAAGGAGCAGGAACTGGGGGAGACCAGGAAACAATACCTGCGCCAGAAAAAGATTAACTTCAGGTGATGTAAAGCAAAAGGCGGGAGGGGGGGGGGGGGGGGGGTTGTAGTTTGAGACTGAACAACTATAGTTTTTTGTTTCTTCTTTAAATTTGAGAAAAGAGAGGCATATCTACACAGAGACGGTCATTTAGTAATTTGGGGGGGGGGGGGGGGGGGGGGGGGGGAAAGGAGAGAAAGCTAACGAGAGTGAAACAACAGAAGGAAAGAAAAGAAGTGGGACCTTTCAGGGCCACTTTTATATTTTTAGCTAGACTGACACACTGGTGTGACAGTACATATGTCAATAATACAGTACAATCTCTCTATAATTATAATGACCTTCAATATAACAATATCCTCTGAATAGCGACATGGTGCCCAGGTCCAGATTTATTCCTTATATATCATTAGTAATATTTTAGTAGCCTCTGTAACTACATTTTTTTTTCTGGTCCCACGACGTTATAGAGAGGTTGCACTGTACTGAAAAGGAGAAAAAAACCCACAAAAACATCCACCAACCACCCACATTTATAAGATGAAACTGCCTCTGACTTTTAAAATGACAACAACACAAAAGCACATTGATTGCTATGCTAGCAAGAATGTAACAAAAAGAAAATTGGAAATATGCATGAGAACTGAAAGTATTCACAAAACAGATGGAGAAAAAATTATTCATAGAAGAAGCCATGACCTCTGTGGCTCTCTATCATACTCTATCCCACTTTTGTTTCTCTTAGACTGACGTCAAATAACAGTTAGAAAATAGTTGTATTCCAATGAATGTGATCCATTTTGCCCAGTTAACTACAATTCTTGGATCTCTCACTAAAGTCATGAGAATTGAACGCCTTCGAAGATTATATACATTTTAACACTTCATATTCTTAAAGATTAAAATAACAAAAACTATGTAACAAAAACAAACAAGTGTGTACAAAAGAATATAATAATATATAATAAACTAAAGGATAACAAGAAGAAAAACTAAATTCAAACTATTTCCACTACTTCAAAGAGGTATAGTTTTATTTACAACAAAAAATGACACATATCATTTCAAATGTAAGGACACGGATGTCCCTGAATGTTTATACACTAACTAGAGTACAGCATTTTCACACAGCCACGCAGACATTACACAAGTAACACTAAAGAAAAACAGAGAGCAGTTTTCAACAAATTACAGATTTATAAAATGCGGTCTAAATAAACTTCCATAAATGAAAACCTTGTCTTTAACCTCAGAATGATCATGTTTTTGATTCCATCACCCCCCCAATACTCTTGACAGGGGTAAAATTGAAGTAAATCTTCCTTACATCTAACACAAAAGTCTGAAAACTGAAATATTCATATATTCAAACATGACTTTGCAATATAATATACAGAGGTCCATGTGTGCATGTCCATTTTTTCATTTTCACTCTTTATGAATTCCAGGCAAAGACAACAGCAGAACAAACTACCTCCCATTAAAGCTAATCCTCCACTAGTGAAAGGCTGCGGCGGCGGATTTCGATGGACTTCTCTGATAGCAGCAAAGACAAACACAAAGGTATACCCTCAAATGCTTGTGAGTGGAAATGTCAGACCAAATAAATGAAAGATCCAATTTGGGTTATTTATTCATTTACAAAGACACACTAAATGGACATAGTTTGGATCAACATTTTTGACTTAATGTGGGGCACATTTATAGTCATACACAAGTTCACAATGCATTAAAGGAGGTTTTGTTTGACCATCTATTTAGGTTCAAAGGTGCACTAAAAGGACTGAATTTCAATCAGGAACTCAGGTGCAAAAGTGCAACTCTACATATATATCAATACACTCATTGAGCATTATATTTTTATTTTTCTTCAATGATTCAGTTTTCATGTGCTCGACTGTATCATTGACCCAGTATACATATTCTCTGTTGTGCTACACAACTTATTCAGTATAATGCATGACACTTAGCATAGGTCATGATAGGTAGTTCATTACTATTGTGTGAGTCATTCATCCATCGTACCACAACGACCAGACAGCGTAACCGTATCAACTTTACTTCCTTTCAAGACAAATAGAATAAAATATTTTGAAGCAACGAAAGCATAACTGTGGGCACAATACACATACAAGTCAAAGACAAAAGTACCACAGCAACAAACCACGTTTGTTTTGGGAGAACAACTTAAAAAAACCATGGTTCAAAGACAGCCTCAGCACGTTTGAACTGAGAATGAAAAGCTATGTCAACATAAATATCCATGCATGATTGGAGAGTCTTGATGACAAAACAAGAGGGAGCTAGTACTAGTTGTAGTAGACAATGGCAGTTCAGGACCTAAAGGGATAGTTGTAATATTCATTTGGTTTACTCTGCTTGAGCCATTTAACAGTACATTTCATTAATATGCCTAAAACCTAATTGATACGTCTTACATTTTTAGTGCAAAAGAAGAGGCATCAGGAAAAAAGCTCAAGTAAAAAAAAAGAGTTTTGAGTGAAGGGCAGTGCAATATTGGTCATTACCATATTGCTTCATGAAGATGATCCTAAACATCATTTCAAGTTAGAAGCTTTACAGGCAAATGGCTGTTTATTTCAGAATGGAATGGTGATGTAGCGTACTAGCGTAAGAGACAAGTTCATTTTCATAACATTGTACCTTGTTCATCCTACTTTCATCGGCCCACTGCATTGCTCTTGCAAAAGTCAGTGCAAAAAGGGCTTCATCGACGTTCATCCAAATGAAAGATAAAGTTTTCAAATATGACAGAGAAACATACAAATGTGAATGACAAATAAACATTACGTCTAGAAACAATAACATTTTCTTGTTGTTCATTTCATGATTCTGTTGAGCCACTGCTTGAGAGCTTGATATGTACAACATAAGGTGCCCTTTATGTACAACAGCCTGCTGGGCTGATACTGTGTTCTTTGTTACAATGATTGTGTGGCTCAGACGTTTAATTTTAGTAAGAGTTTTACGGCACTTTCAACACAATTAGATTATGTAGGTGCTGAAGATTAGAGGTATACTAGATAGTAACATTAAAAAAAAAGAAGGAGCAAACCACATCAGACACCCACCAACCACCCACGGCTCAGATGTATAAATATTTGTAGTATCATCATACAAATGGGAAAAAATCTTAACGCTTGGATTTCTTCTTAGCAGGAGGATCATCTTCATCATCTTCTTGTTCATTCTCTGGTCTCACGTTCTCCTGGTCATTATCAGAACCATCACTGTCCGCCTGAGGAAAAAAAAAAAGTTTTTCAACGTTCCTCAATCTCTGAAAATATCCTCCAAATACCTACAATATCTTTTGCATAGGTTAATTAACACTATTTAGAACACAATATAAAAATTCTAACAGTTTTGCTTCACGCATAGAAGCTGTATATTCCCTTTAACTTAAACTTCAAGTTCAAGCATGAGGCAGTCATGTTGCTGTCTAGTATTATGAACTTCTCTTCCTAGTAATGTGCCCAGCTTTGACATGCCCTCAAGAGAAAGTTACATATGGTCGCTTTTAAGGACAAGCGGGCTAACCCAGATTTCGGGGGTTTCCTGAAACCTTGACCTACATCAAAAGTGGGCATTGCCCTGCCTATAGGAGAAGTTTGGTTTCATTGGTGTGTATATTTGTTTGGTTATAGAGAAAACTACCTTAGTCTTTTAAACAAACTGAACAAGGGGCAAAAACTTTATCTTCGATTTTCTCAAAACAGCATTTTTCGGGATAGCCCCCTTGTGCTGAAAAGCGACTATATAGAGTACTTCAGAGATCGAGAGAAGAAGGAATAAATTCCTCGGTGGTGTCTTGCCTGAGGCAGTGAAAATTACTATTACAGCACGAGAAGTAGGAAGTACGAAGTTGTGGCGTTGGTGGCCTAGTGGTTAGGCTCTCGGACTTGCAACCGTAAGGTCGTGGGTTCGAATCCCGTCAGGGGCCCGACATTGTGTTCTTGGGAAAGGCACTTTACACAAATTTTCCTCACTTCACCCAGGTGGGAATGGCTATAGACAGCGAAAGATATTGTCAGTTTGTTAGTGTTTGAGCGCTTAATCGGCTGCTTGCACTGTATGCTTCCCGGGAAACTGAGAATGTTTCCGAGTGTTCTATGGTCTGCTGGGGTAATAATATAGTGTAAAGCGCATAGAGCCTGCTGTTGAGCGGGGATATGCGCTATACAAATGCTATTACTATTTATTATTTATTATTATTATTATTTATTTATGCTCACACTGATAACAAGATGCATACAATGTATGATAAAAAGAAAAGAGCAAGTTAAAATATAAACCTTGACAGAAGAAATAGTTAAATAACATACAGACAACATTGACAGTATTATGCTCTTGTCTCTTAATTAAAAATAGTTCAAAACACACACAAACAATCATCTGATTTTAATTCTAAGAGAAGACACAAAAGTTATCTTCCAGTACTTTTATACTAGATCTCTACTTAAAGTTAAAGTGCATGCTGACACGAAACTTTTACTGAGGAACCCAAGGTTTCCTCTGCAATAATTTTCGAAAAAAACCGAATTTACTTTTTTCTTTCAGTTACACTGCTGTTAGAACAAAACGCTACTCTTATGTGCCTTTCAGACCAAAAATAAATAACTGCCCATAAAGGCAAAGGTCATCCTTACAAATTCCCACGAGAGTGGATTCACCAAAGTGATGATTGTGAAAGATCTATCAAGACTTAAAATGTGAGACAGTAAATATGAATACACCCCAAGTTTATGCAAGACATTGCAGGAAATGATTGACATGTTGGCAAGCAATGTTAAACTAAATGGGAGATTTGTCAGGGATGAAACGGAGACTCCTAGATCTTAGCAGCAAATCAACCTGACAGTCCAGAAGGAACAGAAACAATTAAACTTTTGAAGCATCAAGATGTGAGATAGGACAAAATTCTTTTAAAAAAAATATGTAGGTGTTTTTACACCCATATCAACACAATTTAGATCATTTAGGAGGCGGGCTTCCAACCTGGTCTGTTTGGGCCAACACCGGTTGAGGGGAATATGACATCCCAGCAGAAAGACTGAAAAAACACTTGTTAAAAAGTTTCTTCTGATTTGGGAATTGAGCTCAGATCTCTTCAGTGTGACAGCAAAGTGTCTAACAAGTTTACCAAAGAGATGAGGACAGTGGAGCCCCCAGGAAACAAGAGATAAAAAGAAGCCACAGTAAACAGATTTTAATTGATAACATAGGTACCAAATCCTTCAAGGATTCTGAGATCAGGGACAAAATAAACTGTGAGTGTGTCTGGGTGAGATGGTATCATCTCTTCAAATTAGTAAACCACAATACATTACCTCATCATTGTTCTCGCCCTCTTCATCATCTGAACCATTATCACCGTCTTCACTGTCAGAAGACACAGCTTGCTCGACTGCTGTGTTCACAGTTTCAGATCTAATTCTGAAATCTCTGGAGGTCGACTGTTTAAAATTTTCCATAAGATCCACCTGAGGAAAAAGATCAAGAGCTCATCAGGCCAGCCCAAAAAATTTGTTTTTCACATAACTGTTGTATTCCTAATACAGTGCTAACATTTAGTGCAAGTTGCCTACATAAAGGAAGCCACATGCTGTGAACAGCAACGTAGCACGTTTTTCTATCTGCAATACAAAGTGCTAATAATGCAGTAATTTCTTTCCAGCCTCTGCTTTCCCGATATAATACCATAAACTAATACAAACTATTCTTTTCTTACAAACCATAATAACTGAGCGGTTGTTTTTCTGTTTTCAAAGTTTTCCAAGATTTGTTATGAACCTGGAAGAGAGCAATCAACTACAACTGAGCCTGTGCATACTCTATTTGGTCGCTTTTAAGCACAAGGGGGCTATCCCGAAAACTGCTGTTTTGACAAATCGAAGGATAAGTTTTTGCCCCTTGATCAGTCTTTTTAAAGGACAAGGAAAGTTTTCTCTATAACCAAACAAATATACACACCAATTAAACCAAACTCCTCCTGTAGGAAGGGCAATGCCCATTTTTGGTGTAGGTCAAGATTTCTGGAAACCCCCGAAATCTGGGTTAGCCCGGTTGCCCTTAAAAGAGACCATTTAACAGTCTTTGAATCCCATTTTTTCAAAACAACTGTCATGGTGTTTGAGCCCTGCCATTCAAGGAGCGAGATATGTCTATACCTAGCAACTAGCTAACTTTGGTAAAGAGAAAGCAGTAACCAAGAGCCGCTCCTCACCCCAAAAACAAGTTGCTCTTTTGTGGAGAGTTAAAGAAAGAAAGCCGACAAAAACACCAAATAGACAGGAAAAAAGTTGCACAAGTAAAACAGCATATGATGACCATAGTATCAACAGTTTTTGACAGAGATTCGTGAAACATTGTGGTGAAATCAGGCGCTCGTCAAAATAATGAAATTGAAGAAATCAATATTTTTAAGCTAGTTTGGATTTATTTTTCGAAGTTTTGGCTCAACATATTGTATGTCCATTCAGAAGTGCTTTTGTGAGTGGATTTTATGGAAACACGTTGATTAAAGGCACAAAAACATAAATTTGCAGTTTCCAATGACTCTAAAGTAATGGAAGTCACCAAACTTTGACGGCCCTTTTCTAGCTAATTTTACTTCTAAAACCAAGCAACGCCAAGTCCTTCAATCACAAAAATCTTTGACTTCTACTTAAGATAAATGGATATTTTTTTCATTGAAAGAAAGGCAAATGAATAACCTTTAAGATGATACCAATAATTCCATATACTCAAAAACTGATGAGCGCCTGATACCACAGCGTTGTGACACATTTACCTTTGACTTTTTGCTGAGCTGTATGAGGAATTTCTCCAGCTGTTCAATAGCAAAGATCAGATTGGGGATGGTCTTCATCTGCTTCATAGCCTTAGCCTGTAGGACAAGAAGCACAATCTTTCAAACACTGAAAGGAGAAGTTGATGAAGCTTTAAATTTAAGTTAAGATTAGAAAGACACTATACAGTTATGCACAAACTAAAATTTTTTTAAAATATGGAAAAGACATCAAAAAAATTTATTTTGAAACCCGTCTTCCAATTAATAGCTGTTCTATATTCTCAAAAAGAACGATAATTTGACCCTAAAAAATAATTACAGGACGTTCATTATACCACAACAGAAGCTTAAGAGACAAGAGTTATAACCATATCCATCCCCACAAACGTTATACCTAATGGTGATGCAAGGGATTTATTAGTATCCAAGCCAGAAACAACTATGTGAAACTCTTCATTGCTTTTTCTTTTAGCTTTTCATTAACCCCCCCCCCCAAACTCAAAATGACAGTTCGTTGTAAGGCTCCTTAAGAAGAAAGCTTGGCTGAAGAAATTATAAATCCAGTAACTGCAGAGAGACCTAGACATGCACAGATGTCTAATTTTGTATGGGACAAAAATTCTCAAAAGTTTTCCTTCTTAGCTAAGGAGGAAAAAAAATGAGTCAAAAATATAAATCTTACTATAGTACATTTTCATTATCATATTCAAGCAATGATGTTTTATTTATGCCAGCCATAAGATGCTTAGCCTTTGTGGCAAATAACAAAAACTGTGCTTTACCATGCCAGCTTGGGCAGATGTCGATGCTTTCTTTTTTCCTTTGTCTTTCCGCTCTGTCTCCTGTGGCTCATTCTCTGACATCTAGAGCAAAGAGTAAATAACACAAAAAATACTGAGTGTCATCAAGTTGCTAAACCTTTCTAACACTTTGGCATCATTGGGGAAAATCTAAAGACACTGGGAGGTAAACATCGCCAATTGGCGAGATGAGGCGGCAAAGAGTTAAAAGTAAAGCTCTCACTGTTACCAAAAGAAAGTGGCTATTCTCACCCGCCCGGAAGTTCTCGCAAGATCAACTCCTCCCCTCTTCTCTCTCTCTCTGTCTCTTTCTGAATACTGTCTATCGGTGTGGACGATCAAATTGACCAAAACAAAGTTAAAAAATGATGTTAAAACACAAAAGTAAATTAATTTGGTTGTCTACAAAGATGCTACGGCTATTTAACTTTTCGAATCGAGCCGAACTACGCGGGTCGCCATTTTGTTTTACCCGGAAATTCTCGCGCTACTCCTCTCTCTCTTTCTCTTCACTGCCCACAGACAAAATTGTACGCTTTTAGTAGGCTACAGTTGTAATGGAACGTTTGTTCACGGCACAGAATTCTACAATTTTTCTGTTATCACAGTGTAGAATTCTGTGGTTTAGTGTTGACGCAAAATTTGGTGAACGCGCACCGGGTGAGAATAGCCACAAGACTCGCCTGCACTATTCTCACTCCGGGTGGGAACAGAGGTGGCCTTACCAAAAATGAATTACACTACTGTATGCCCGGAGTGCTAGGATGTCATTCCCAGGATCAAGTAATCAAGTTGATAACTGTAAATTAGCACACATCTAATTTTGGCAGTACAGCAGGGACATTGTGTGACTATCCATGAGATGAATAATTGACTTACTCATTTCTTAAATTTTGAGTCAGATTAAAACTAATCTCTGTTCAGGCTCATTTATCATTGGCAGAAGTTTTAAATCAGGCGTCTTCCTTATTGATTCCAAAAAAGCATATGGTGCGTAACTGAAAGTTATATCACCATTATTCATTACACCATTAAAGAACTACATCAATAACAAATACTGTACCAGTCAAAATATCCCCTGGAAACATTTTTTTAAAAAAGCTTTTCGAAGAGGACAATATTTTTTTCTGTTGAGATTATAAGAGGATAATAGTAAGAGTTATTCAATTTTCTTGCAACAGTGGTAATTTATATGTAAAAAAAATAATGTGGATAACTACCACCAGACTTCTGAATCAAAAACAATATTCAAATCAACATTTTTTATTCCTAAATGCCCACAATGTTATTGTTATCCCAAACTGTTGAATTGTCACTCATTTCAGCCCTGGTCTATGGCATGAAGATTTTTGTCAGTGTTATGGTCTGTTACAGGTGTTGTGTGTGAATTGTTGGATTGGGAGGAAGGAGACTCCCTTCTCGGTGCTTGTAACTCATTAAAAAGGCATTGGGCATGTCATTTCATACGAATATTTACAGTGTCCGATGTGATAAAACACGCTTCAGTTTAGGTCTGTTCTTTTTGCTTTCTTTTTTTTTAGCATAAAAATGTCCCACTTGAAACAAACAGATCACAGCATTAGGGCCAGAGGTATGGGTAAAGAGGAAGGGAAAAGGAAAGAAAAAAGGAATAGACCTTGCACCAGAGTAAATATCACATCTGAGCATAATCGAAGAAAAAAGCAGGCAAGTTGGGCATATCCATATAAGCGTAAATGAAACTTAAATGTTCAAAATGTGGCACACCCTTCTCTGCCAGAATTAGTTTCAATGGACATAGCAGAAGCTACACATCATCTTAATCCTCATTTCTTTTATTTCTCTTTAAGAAATATTCTCCTCTGCAGATACATTGGTCATAGACATTGACAGACAAATTATTATCATTATTCTATTCCACCATTAGAAATGTGCAGCACCCCCCGCTGATGTGCAATGGGTCTCTTTACTACCCCTAACACACCCAATGATTGTCTGTTTAGACATTTGTCTCCCCACCCATAAGCACACCTAGGACTTAAAATCTTAAGGTTGCAGGTTTGAATCCCATTAGGGGCCCTGATGTTGTGTCCTTAGGAAAGGCACTTTACAAGAATTTTTCTCATTTAACATAGGTAGTATAGACAGTGAAAGATCTTGTTAGTTTGTTAGTGCTTAATCGGCTGCTTGCAATGCATGGCTCCGGGGAAGCCAAAAATGTTTCTGGGTGTCTTAGTGTCTTGTAAGGTAATAACAGAGTGTAAAGTGCCTAGAATTTGCTGCTGAGCCAGTATGTACGCTATAGAAATGCTATTTATTATTCATTATACCAACCTGCACAAAAATGATCATGCTGTAGGTGGGCTGGGTCAGTTGTTTGCCCACCAGAGTGACCAGCTTCTCAAAACGACTGCCCAAGTGACCTGCCTTGTTGCTGTATAGGCTGATGTACTGAAAGGCACAATGTAAAAACCTTCAACAAAATGCATCAAGAAAGGTACGAGTGAGGGAGGAGGGAAAGGGATGAGTAAGTGAGGGATGGAGGAAGGCAGTACGGGAGGGAAGAGCAGAAAGGATGAATGAGGAAGATAGGAGGGAAAGGGATAAGTATGTTCAGGACATTAAGTAATTCAGAGATAGTTTTTACACTTCTGTCACAACTGATAAAAAATACAACCAAGAGCAAAAGATAGCAGAGATGTAGACTGAAAGGGGGGAGGGGGGAGGAAGGGAGAGAGGAGGGGAAGGGATCAGTATGTTCTGTATATCGAAACATTCTACGAAAGTTTTAGGACATTTGTCTTGCCTGACACAAGGCTAACACATCTTGACTTATATCCATAACACTTTGCTTCTAGCTGGCAATTCACATTGCCCATGCCTACATTACAGAGGACAAGGAAGAGGGACCTAGTTTAAGTTTTAGTAAGAGTTTTACGGGACTTGAAACACAATTAGGTTTATAATTGTCAAAGATTGGAGTTGTTAAAGGAGAGTAACAAACATAAAAAAAGGAGGGGGAGATAAGGATGACAGATGTTTGATAGGAAAGTAGGAGCAAACCACACCAGACCAGCCGCCAATCACCCATGAGAAGGGAGCACAGCAATAAACCATATATAATAAGAAACATTTATGAGGAAATGGGACTTGCAATGCCATTGGCCTGAGTGCATGTGTTACTGACTCGTGTTATCAAAATTTCGAAAAGAAGAGTGATTTTGGGTCAGTATTCAAATAGAGGTTGCATAACAAAGCAGAGATACTTTTGAACAGTCAGAATTCTGAATCTAAATCGCAAAACTATCAGTCTTCTCTTTTATCTGAGGAGTTGAAAGAAAAACTAAAAACTCGTTGACACTTACATGTTTAGTGAGAGAGGAGAGGGCATTATACAGTTTTGTCAATGCCTTTAGCAAGGACTGAGAGCAAGGCTTTGTCTTAACAGCAGAGTGCGTCAGCTCAATGAAGCCATTGACCAGCATGCCCAACCTCGTACACACTGACCGGTCCATAGACTCCACTTGGGTGGCGCCCAGCTCATCTGGAAAAGTTGAGAAATACAGCATCAATCAATCATTTATCATCATCACTTGCCTTTTCTACACTGGTATTGGGTACAGGCTTCCAAGAAAGCTCTCCACCTGTCTCTCTTCTGGACAATCTTCTCTACCATGAACCAGCTGTGCCCCATAAGCTTGAGATCTGCCTTAAGATCTTCCCAATTGGATCTCAGTCTTCGCCTCTTCCTCCTTAGGGGTTCCATCTTAGCATCATTCATTAGGTTCCGCTAACACAATATTCCACTAGCTGGGTCTATAGTTTCACTCAAATGACAGGAAAAGGGAAGATCTTATTTATTTAGCACTATCTTTCAGTACAGATTGACAAAGAAAATGAAACATTAGGGAGAAATGATGCTTTAGAGGTATTCAAACCTTTAATGCTTGAGAATAAAATAGAAGTAAAAGAGGTTAGCTTAATTAAATGACCTACCTTCAACACTAGAGCTAGTGGTGGCTAGCATTTGTGCCTTATGCCTTTTGATGACCCACTCAATGTCATCTAGTTCTGCCTCCAGATAGTTCAGCGCAATAGTCAGAAGACCTGAAGTGGGGCAATGGTTTGCCTTGGTAACTGCATAGTGAGTTGAATCGTCAATGGTGCAGTCCTGTCGATTGGAGGGACATGAAAGTTTTGTGGGTTCAAGTTCAAATTGAGTTGTTCACAATGAAGACTAAAGAAAGCGAGTAAGATCTTTGATGGTGTTGAATTTTTGCAGAATGTGGGTATAAAATATGGTGACATTAGAGGAATGAAAATAAAATCATAATATAATTAAAAATGTAAAAATGAGTGAGAGATGTAAAATATTTTCAAACTGTGTGAAGCCTACAGATCTTGGTAACAATTTCTTTGTGTCAGGGGCCTGACAAGCTCCAGTACTGAATTTATTGGGCAAATTTGATTATGAGGTTACCCTCTCAAGAAAAGTCCACTTTACCTGATCTATATCTCCCATCTGGCTGTGGATATCCTGGCACACATTGCGCAACAACTGTGGCAAATTTTTGGTCTGTTTGGAATATTTGAGCAGGGAGCCTACAAGCTGTCGGCACGTGGATGCATCCTCTGTGGGGAAAACAAACAAACCAAGAAATAAAGGATAACAGACCCTATGTCACAAAGGCTTGAATGATAATGTGCCATCATATTTATCAAATCTGTTGAGACTGTACATTCCAACTTGCAGTTTAAGGTTATCAGCTGATAAAAAGAAATTTCTTTTTCCATCTATGAAACTTAAAACAATGGGGGAAAGGGCATTTGAATATCAAGGCCCCAAGATCTGGAATGCTTTACCGAGTACTTTGAGAGAGATCAAATCCTTTGATTCATTCAAATGCTAGCTGAAGTCATTTCTGTTTTTAAATTATAAAGATGAATATTTGGAGGGATTTTTTTTTGGTCAGAACACAGCGTTTTATGTTACTGATGTACATTGTATTGTACTGTAAAGCGCTCAGAGCCTATGTACTTTAATTGGGGTTGAGCGCTATATAAATGTCATTTATTATTATTATTATTAGATATGCCATAATTTGATTTGAAAGACTGCACAGATTAAGTTTTCATCTTGCTGGGATATACATCTATATGAGTTTAGCCAAAATCCAATGTCTTAACCCTACAGTTCTCAGCACAAGCCTCGCTTCAACATACCAAATACACACCTCAGCCTGAAGTATAAACCTAGCAGTTTTATGCAAGGAGCTCAGGTGCAGCCTTTTATTGCAGGCTCAGGGGCTGGGGCTCAAATAGTAAATAAACTGTGATCACACCAACTATTACACATTCATTTATCATCATTGCCTTTCTCACCATGGATCAGGACATAGGCCACAGACAAACACTTTCCACCTTTCCCTATCTTACACTAACCGCTTGATGTTATTCCATGTCTTCCCACTTTCTGTACATCTATTTCTGTGACTCTTCTCCAGGTACCATGCTATCTTCCCCTTGATCATTACAATAATATGCCGTGACTAAAATGTAAAGACAGTAAATTTTCGGATCTCCGTAGAAGAAAATAAATTTATTAGACAAAATTATGGTTCGGAGGTAACTCTTTAGAAGCCTGTTCTAGCTTACCAATGTTCTGATCAGTAGCGACCTTGAGAGTCCACTGATAAACTTGCTGGAACTCGGGCCCATGATGGGGCAGGTGTGCAGTCAGGTGATCCAAGATTGACAACAGCGCTGAAGCTTCTTTCCAGTTCTGGTTTTCAGTATTTTCTTCAAAAATTGTAGAAATCAAACGCTGAAAAAGTAAGAAAAGAAATGGAAGCCATTAAATAAGGCTGACTCAGGATCACAGAAAAGATGATCCTGATCTTTCACCAAAGAAACTTTTGTGAGCAACCACCTGCTTACGATGGACGAAAAAGTTAAAGATTTGTTGCTCACTATGATGAACTTGTGAATCTTTAGTCAATCTCACATTAATCTTGAGAATAAAGAAGAGCATCTACAGAATTATAAAAATCTAAAGGAAACAAGTCTTACCTAGTATTAGGCAAAAACCACTTGTTCCATTCCAATCTACTTACACAGCAGTCTTTTAAGTATAAATTATAAAATATAAAACACTTTCAGGGAAAACGGGTAAACAGAATGTAAAAAAACCTGAAACTTCTTGACATGTTTGTGAATCTTTTCCGCTCTCGCAGCCGCTGGTACTAAGTGCTCTTTGTTTTCCACATCTTCTTTCTCTGTAAAATAAAAGACAATTTTGACTTATTATAACTAAACACCGACAGGCTATCCAATGACTGTTTGACTAGCCACGATGGATGCCACCTGTGCTCATAATAAAAAAAGTCATTTATCGTATACGGTAAGCATAATGTAAAATTTAACAAACACCACCAGTACACAAATGTGCAAATAAATCGAGCAGCTCTGTTCAGTCAACAATTAGAAAACACGGATAAGATTTGCAACAAGTTGGATGGCTTTCTACTGATAAAAACCACGCTGTGAATATTTTCATACCCGGTCTTGAAAGAAACACTGGCAAAGGATAAGCATCTATACTTGTGCTCTAGAACAGAAACTAAGAAGAACATGGAGGAGGAGGAGGAGGAGGAAAGGGTAAAAAATAGAGTACCTAAGTAGGTCAAAGCCATCAGCAGTTCAGGTGCCCCTCGGGAACTGGCAATCCCAATGACCACCTCAAGAGCCTCCAGGCACTGAGTGGTCAGTCTCTTCTCTCGCTGGTCATCTCCACCTGCCACTTGGTTCTCTGTGTAGTGGATGTAGAACAACCTGTAGGAAAAGGACAGGAATGGAAGCTGATTACCTTAAAACAAAGTGGCACTGTCTGTATATCCCACAATAGCACCAACAATGACTCAATATATTAGAACAGCTCTCCTGCTGATTGGGTGAAGTTTGGTAACAGACTTACTGCATGTTAGCAAAAGGTTCATCCCATCTCATGATGGAAAAGTGCATAAGAACATCTAAGCTTAGAAGCACAAAAAACCTCAAAGGTAATGATTTAAAGGGTTCAAGTTTGGGGGAAATGTGGTGATCATTCAATTGTAAACTTTTGGCTTATAAGGTGTTTCCCAAGCCTTTCTTAAAACCAAACAAGGGCCACTCTAGACATTTGCGGTGTGGCCCCATCCCACTAGAACCAGGCCTCTGCAGCATAACGCTTTCTCATCAAACTTCTCCAAAACTTTCTCAGCATGGTGAGATATCCATCTGATGTGACTGTCGTGGTTTTACCGTCCCTGTCCTGAAACCAGAACAGGCCAATCTCGTTCCTGTAGCTGAATGTTTCTAAGAAGTGAAATTTTGCATTTCACCCAAAGTTGGTAGAAATTTTAAAAACTTGATATTTCACTGAGACATTGACTGATTTTCTTCATATTTACAAACTTGATGTCCCCCTGGTTGAATTTTATTTTTTCGAAGTTTTGTTAAAACTAATGCACTAATGACCGAGTTATTGCCCTTTAAGTGGGTTCTCTTCTTTTATTTAAGACTCGCTGTACTTATTTCTAGGTGGGCATAAAACTCATACCATACTTAGAAAGCAGTCACCAAACCTGATCTATTCAAGGCTCACCTTCCAAGAATACAGCATTTCCTCAAGACTTTCTCTTTATCCTGAGTCTCTCCATCACAAACTCCTTTACTGGAGACCTGGCCCAGCTTCTGAAGAGCCACAGACACGAGGTAAGGGAGGAACTCTTTGCAGTCTCTCAGCTTTGTCAGCCCTTCGGCGTGATCAGGGGTCTGGTCTCTAAAAATTCAAATCAAAACAACACAATAGAAGGCATTAGCAGCTTCTTAAGAAAAGCTTTCTAATTCTACACAAAGTTTTAAAAAGCCATGAGACACCAAACATTAGGTTTTTTACAGTCAGTAAACGTTAAATGCTTTATGCTGCCATCGACACAAAGTAGTTTATTTATGAGGCAAGTCAATTTGTCCTTGCCTATCAGAGTAAATCTGCACCGAGTGGGATAAAACAAAAGATCAGAAAGGCAGGGATACACTATAAATATCTCCTCCATATGGAAAATCTTTTGACAATAAAGTACAGACATTTTTCAAGTATAAAACAAATCACGTTTCTGATCTGCTATAACTAATGTCAAAGTATTTGACACCCTTCTTTCTAGAAACCACATTCTAGAATATCTTTAGTACATTCTTAGCACACATATGAATGCAAACATAAAAGAGTAATGAAATATGTAGATCACATTAGAACACCCATCAACCATCTACCGACTATGCTAGGTTTACTAAACTTATTAAATGTATTTCAAATGCAAACCAGATAGTAAGCAGAGAGAAAATCAAAAAAGTACTGATCATCCCAATTCTCAGAAAATTCTGAAATCAAAGAGCATCCTAATTCTTAGAAAATCCTAGCGGGCAGTATTGCATAAAGACGGAAGTCATTTTTGGCGGCTTTTGAGATACGAATGTATGCAATACTTCCCGCATCTTGAAATCCACAGAAGAGTGTGTGCCCTTGTGAAAATACAGCCTGACTTACTCTACAACAGCACTCAGCAAGTTGCTCACACAGTCAAGGGACAGCAGACTGTTGGACACTTTGGGTGCAGTTGTCGACCTTCCTTTCTTCCCCCCACCTGCAGACTTTTCTTTGACGACGGCACTGAGCTTTGTGAGGTTAGAAAAGAGTTTCACGGTGTTGTCACAGCTTTCAGCACTGGAAGCAGACAGAATAAAGGCAAATCAGTGCTCGTCAATTTTTGGGCATATGGAGTTATTGATATCATTTTAAAGACTGTCTATTTGCCTGGCTTGTGATGAAAAAAAATATCCATTTATTTTCTATACAAGTCAAGATATTGGCGATTGAAGGAGGTGTTGGTCACCTGGTTTCAGAGGCAAAATTAGCGAGAAAATGGCCTCTAAAGTTGAGTTATTTCCTTAGCTTGAGAGTTCGTAGAAACTGAAAATTTACATCTTTTATGCCTTTAATTAATGTTTTTCCAGTAAAATCCACACCGAAATGTGTTCTTTCATAGGCATGAAAGGTGTTGAGCCAAAAAACAAAAGTTCGATAAAAATTCCCAAACCTGCGGGAAAATGCCAGTTTCTTGATTTTCATTATTTTGACAGGCGTCTGATTTCACCATGCTGCCTCACAAATAATGAAAGTAAAAGAAAGAAGAAAGAGTTCTGTTTATAGACCGGTCTATACTATTCGTGATCACATCAGAAGCTTCAATATGCTGTGATATTCAAATTGAACACCTATCCCAAGTAGCACATATTTTTTGTTTTTGATTTTAGATGGGACAATTTTCAATGTGGCCGAGACCCACGCTGGTCTGCTGTACAGATGAGTTACCCGGTTCAAATCCCTGATGGGACATTCTTGAGCGTGGGTAGTCCGAGATGTTTCATGCTCACTATACTCTCTGGTCCTACAGGAGATGGTCATCAAATAAGAGGTTGTATTTTGTCTAATTTTATGCCACCTCAAGCACCTTCATGTAAACTTTATAATGTTTATGAAATGTACTCAAATACAGTGCATGACACCGAACTATAAGACAAGAAATGTTAAAATTATCACCATCTAAATGAGTTGAAATTTAATATTGCCCACAAGCTGTTCAAACGTATTAAGCCCAGTAACCAATTTTTTCAGAAAAATGAAAAAAAATGTTTCATTTTGTAAACAATTTGTATCTACATTATGTATCTTTCCTTGCATTTTTCAAGATTCAGAATTTAAATTTCGACAAAATATTTCTAGCGCACGTACAATTAATGCCAAAGGTTAAGAAACTGCAAGAGAACATATTTTTAAAAAATTGGGCCACGTACATCTAGACAGCGGGCTGATGATATATTTTGAGAGTAAGTTTTCCAAAGAGCATCAACAAAGACAAAGTAACACGTACAGGAACACAGTAAAAATATCAAGTTGAGGGAAAAGTTATTCATAACGTACTCCATAGCTATGTGGTGGAGGACAGGAAATTGGATTCAGTATGAAGATCTGATCAGTTATTATAAATGATTAATGTGATGACTCTACTTTGTGAAAGACCAAACTAGAGGGCAAAAAGAACAACCTTCATAAGTTAAAAACTTGATTCTGTAGGCCTATAAGTCACTTTGCCATATGGTTAACTGTATTTGAGGTAATCAAGGGCTGAGCCTTTAACAACCCCCCCCCCCCCTAAGCCTGTGAATTATCCATGATTGATTTTACGCATCTGTGAGGAGAATTTTGAATCTTCTTTAGAAAGGTAACTTCGCTTCGTAAAGCACTAAAGTACTTAAAAGAGTAAATACTTGGAAGGGAATGTAAAATATTTTTCATGAGAACAAAATTTTCGAAATCTTTCAAAACATGGCAGAGAAGGCTTACCTAAAATTTCCAGTCTCACAGGCATACTCCATTAGCACTTCATACATGCCGAGAAGGAGAATGGCATAGATGTTGTTCTTAACACCCACACCATTTGTGCAAGAAAAATCTGCACTTTTGTCCTGAGGAAAAAAATTTACCTGAGATGAATAATGAATTCCTGAAATTATGTAACGTTTTCAGAGACAGAAAAACCCCCTCAAAAACTAGTTGACAAAATCTTCTTTTCAGTCCTTATTGATACTCTTTCACACCTGATAATTATCGTCACTAAACTTCAAGAGCTTACCAATTCAAAATCTTCCATCTCAGCATCAATAATCCGTGTTGTGAGGCTTGATAAGATTTTTTGCAGCTGCACCAGAGACTGTTTTCCCCCATCCTCATCATTGTCTTCATCCATGCTGTCATCATCACCTGCATGCCGTGACTGTGCGAGGATGTGAACAGCTTTCCTGGCACATTGCTGCACACACTTAAGTAGGTGGCCCTGCAGATATAATATATTATGATCTTCAGTGGAGTCCACTTAAACTGAAATCTGCGGGACTGCCGTAATTTCTTCCATTTAGCCAGGTTTTAGGTTTAGAGAGGTTTCTCAAAAAGAAGGAAAAAAATCGGGGATTCTATTTTCTTTCGGTTTACCAGTTTTCAGATTAACTGTGCTCAGTTTAAGCAGACTCCATTGTAAATGTATCTTTATGTATTTCATAATAATATGGAACCTGGCTTATAAGACAAATTAAATCAAACAGATGACAAACTTGAGTGTTGTCAGTGAGGTCATATTCATTACTGGGAGGCACAATAGAATGTGAAAGTCTGACAGTTGTAAAAGCAGTCATTAGACATCAGAAAAGTTTGATATCTCTCATGACATCTGTGCCAATCCGTAAATGATTAATCTCATTTGCCATTTTATAATGAATGGTAGTTCTAAGTGTAGAAGAGAAAAATATTCCCAAAACCCAGGAGACTGAATTGAGGCTTATTTGATTTTTGCCGTGTTTATTGGTTCAACTACTGCATTCAATACAATAAGGCCATTTAAGACATACTGGACCCAAAGTAATCACAAGGCAAAGTAGGTGGAGCATCACAAAAATTTCCAAAAGCAACCAGAGTTAAAGAATGACTCACTGGGGACTCGATCTAAAGCTGTCTCCGTTGTTGTCCAGCAAGACACAGCTGAGCAAATCTGACTATTTTAGAAGTATAAACATGTAAGAACATACACAACTGCCCTTACCAGTGGTTCTACTAGATACACCTGCTCTCCCTGAGTCAAAATGCAGGGCTCCAGGCGAACAGGGGGACACATCTTTTCATTTGGTTCGTAATACTTTTTCAACTGGAACAGTCACAGATGAGATAAATCAAGAGAAGGACATTTGTATGAGTTTGAGTACACATGTTATTGCAGTATGTCAAAAAGAACAAACATATTCACAACATGGTAGTGCACAAGTTTACACGAGAGATAACAGAAACATTAACAGTTGAGTGGAACCTGGTGTTGAGGCACAATCCTCTCTGAGAGATCTGGTAAGTGCCCCTTCACCACAAAGGCGTATGATCCATCAAAAAGAAAACAGATGATATATTAACAAAGCTATAGAAGACTATTATTGACTTAGCATTACAACAAACATTTCACTCAAAATTGATTTAAACAGTTAAAGCATTGAAAAGAAGTAAAGGGAAGAGCCCGTCCCAGACTGTCTGCCAACCAAACAAGCTTTAAAAATCCCTTAAAAATGGACAGGAAGGTTGTAAGCTATAAAAGGACTACTTGATCTGATACCAAAAATAACTAAGTTATTTGTAGAAAAAAAGAAAAATAATTTAAAGAATATGACCCCCGAATAAGCCTACTTATCATTTATTCAATTCTGAATAATAATTTAATAAATAAAAGTGTCATATTTTGTCCACAGACCTGAGCGAGAAGCATATCCAAAACTGGGGCCTGTAGCTGGGAGTTCTTGTGCAGGACATCATACAAACCCTACACAAAAAAGAAATATTCATGTTGACATTAATATAACATCTTTTGTTAAAAACCTCTACAGGCAAGTGCAACAAGATTTAATTCATATCTATAGCTTTAAAAGTTCACATTTAGCCAACAGTGTAACCCATGGAGAAATCACTTTGCTCTAAACAAGAAATAAAATCTTTCAACACAAAACAAAATACACTTCATTGACCCTCAATTGGAAGAAACTGACAGTGAAATTTCTGCAGCTTCTGCAACATAAATATATAAGTCACATAAATATAAATGTATAAATACAAAAATCCTACGAAAACTAATACATAAACATGTAAACACGAAAGCCCACTTATAAAAGATTATGCCACTGTTGAAAAAAAAAGGCTTGCTTTACTATTCTCGATTTATCCTCAGAGGGCTCTGCAACCTACTGCACTCTGAAAGTCATAATATTTGCTGTGAAGAGGGTGTGTGAAGTATGTTAGTATTTTTTAAAATATCGTTATACCAAAATGCAGTTGAATTTGCTTATGAGCCAAACTGACCTGGTAAATCCCCAGTCGAACATCAGCTTGCTGGGTGAAACACCGCCGCAAGTTTCCCAAGATCTCAAGACATAGAGCTTCATTGCTGGAGGCATTGTACTGTGAGTGCACATCAACCACCTGAGGACAAACATTTGTTGTAAACAGAAAATGCTCCAAAAGTTATATTGTCAAATCAGAATAATTACTCTTTGGTTTTACTTTTCTGCTTCTGTGTATGAACATAATACAGGTCATTTAGAAGGAAGATACAGAGCTATGGGGTTGTGGGGCTCTATTTTCTGCTACTCTATATACTCCTGATTGATAGACTGACACAAAAAGAGCAAGACAGAAGAAACGGTAAGCGGGGAAAAAAAGCTGTCAGTGCTACACCAAGAAAGTTTCAGCGTGTAAGGGCGGCACCCTCTGTTGATGGGGACTGTATTCCCTGACCCATTTTGAAACCTTATTCATATATTCAAATTTAAATACAAACCACAAAAATGCCAAGAATTCACACTGTCAATTCTTTTATTACAAACAAAGAAATCTAGTGTGTGTTTAGGTTCCAGACGAACACTTAAAGCACCTGGAGTGATGAGGGAAGAAATGTTCATTCTCATCCAATTTAATAATGTATGATTTTAAAGCCCTCAGCCAATGATAGTAGGTATGGGCTGAATCTTACTGCTGCTCAGTTCGAATTCCCAAAGACAGCAATATATCAAATACCTGGCTCAGAGCAATGGGCTGACTGACTTGACTGGAGGGAAGGCCTCCAAGCACCCGAAAGTTCTTCAGGATCATTAAAAAACCAACTGCTCCAATCTTGCGTGCGGTGAGTTGTCTGAAAGGCGCATAAACAAATTAATAAGACAGGAGACTGTCCACAGTGAGGCTTAAAGACACAGTTCTAAAGGTATAGAATCAGACAAGAAAGGCAAAGTCAAGAAATCCTGAGCATCTCAAAAGTTAATAATTAAATAAGGCGGATTTCACGGTTAGGGGGGCTCACAGCATCAGCAGCAAGGAAACTGCAGAGCTTCATTAATGGATGTCTAAGAAGGACAGTGGGGATCAAGTGGTACGATCGAGTCACAAATGCTCAACTGTGGGAAAGAACAAGCCAAAGGACAGTAAAGGAAGACATACAGGTGAAGAAATGGAAATGGATTGGGCACACCCTGAGGAGACCCCCGACAAGCATCATTAGACAGGCTTTGACGTGGAATCCACAAGGAAAACGTAAGAAAGGAAGACCAAAGATGACATGAAGGCGAGCGGTACAAGCGGAAATGAAAAAAGCGGGGACATCATGGAAACAGCTAGACAAGGATGCAAAGGACAGGCTTCGCTGGAGAAATGCTGATGGCCTATGCTCAAAGGGTAAGAGAGAGAGTTTTGAAATCACTGTCAGTTTGTTGATGTTGACAAAATATACACATCTGTAAGTATTAATTATAGATTGCTCTGCAATCACTGTATGCTTGTTGATGTTGAAGAGTAAACTAACCTGGAGAACATGGCCTTTCTTAACACCAAAATGAGCGTGTCTTTGAGCAGAGGCCTGAGCTTCAGCAGAGGCTGTATAGCCTGGATCAGGCCCTGGGCTGACTGTAGGGACAGGTGCACCAGCTTGACAAACACTTCCTGGATCTTGTTGCTGGACTCCAGGAGCAGCTGTGGGGCTGAGAAAACTGTGTCCGACAGCAAGTCTAAGAAACACAAGAGCAGACTTGTCAACTTTTTGTGGGTTAAAAAAAAGTCTTAGTAAGAGTTTTACAGGATTAAAAGAGAAAAAAAAAAAAAAAAAGAAAGAGAGAAGAGATAAGGATAATACATGTTTGACAGGACAGAAGGAGCACACCACACCTGAGTACCCGCCAACAAACCACTTAATACAAGAGAGGGCTTGTTAACTTTTTCGAAACTCCCAGCATTATAACATCGGATTACATAAAGAACAAAATTATATCAAATGGGACTGGTTTTGGTGAAAAGGGCTAAAACGTCCTTTCAAATTTCTGGATCAAGGACAGTCCAGAGAAATTCAGGACAAAGTGAAGAAAGACTACATTTTTTGTTCAATTTTTGGTATCCTACTGGAGCCCACAAAAGAAAAGAAAAAAAAAACGGGTAGAAAGGAAACAAGGAGAAGAAAAATGATTCAGAACTTGGGACTTACCCAGACTACAACTTTGAACTTCGACATGATAGAAAAGTAAAACAAATCTCGAAACACTTGGAAGACTAGTTTGCACACTCCCTAAAACACCCTTTTTTAAAACTAAAAGGTTCTACTTTTTTTTATCAAATCCTGTAAATATCAATTATCCAGAGCACTTTATGCGCTGCCAAAATCTATTTTTTTGCTCCATGGGGGGGGGGGGGGGCCTCTCAACACAGAAGAATGACATTTTTAACGCCATTATAAAAATACCTCACAAACAACCAATTATTACATAACACATTCACAAACACTAACAAGGAAATTTCATGGGAATAGAGAGTTCATGAGCCTTTACAGCATATTTGTGCTGAATGCATTGTTTTTTTGTTTTTGTTTTGGAAAGTGTTTTACAGCTCTCGCAAATGCGTAAGGTCATATGAGCGCATGGGACACATTAAACATTTTCAGTTTGGTCGGAATTTTGAATTTTGTTTGGACAGTAACAACTAGACCACGAGAGCCCCCAATGCATTGTTTGGACACCTTTTAAACTGGTCTGCGAAAGGAGTATAGTTTTCACCTAAATGACTTATGGCAACAAGAGTTTAGATCTTGTGTAACAAAAGCATAGTCCACATACCTAAATAATGGCTGACAGGGGCGGTTGGCTTCATCACAATGTGGGTGAAAACTTGATCTAAAATTTCCGACCTCACTACTTCATGAGCCTGAAAATGAATAAAAGTCACAGAAACTCAATATAAAATTTCCGACCTCACTACTTCATGAGCCTGAAAATGAATAAAAGTCACAGACTCTCAATATAAAATTTCCGACCTCACTACTTCATGAGCCTGAAAATGAATAAAAGTCACAGACTCTCAATATAAAATTTCCGACCTCACTACTTCATGAGCCTGAAAATGAATAAAAGTCACAGAAACTCAATATAAAATTTCCGACCTCACTACTTCATGAGCATGGAAATTAATTAAAGTCACAGAAACTTTATATAACATTTCAGATCTTTCTACTTTGTGAGCCTGAAAAGAATAAAACATGATGAAAAAAACTTAAAAACTCTTCTTTGTTTCCATTTTCCATTGACACAAAAGGCTATCCACATACAGTGAGGTTTCGATAGGAAACACAAGTAAAATAGAAGAATCTACCACCTACCCTAGATCAATTTACTTCATATATATAGAAAAATACTAAACTATGTAATCATGGTATTTATAATTTCATGTAAACGAAATAAGTCCAGCAGAGTGCAGTTCGTCGCCATATGGATGGTTAGTCTCAAGCAATGAAAACTCAAGTTATGGCTCGTAGTCCCAAAACATTTTCCAATAAGCAAAACTAGAAATGATAATTTATACTACTTCAAGAACTGGCAATTTTAACTTGAAAAAGAGAAGTGGAAAAAATAGAACAAGAAAAAATCAAAACAGCAAACAAAACAAAAACAACCTTGAAAGTCTTGAGCAGTATCCTCTGTCCCAGCTGGCATGCCCGTTGTGTTGGCGTGAGGTTACAGGTGGTCACTGACTCAGGCATTGCTCCAAATACTAACTTAGGCCCAAAACTGTCCATGAGGCTGAACCCTAGCTTGACTAATCCTTGAACCACATGGTCCCAGTCGAAAGTGCTAAAGAAAGAAGAGACTTTTAGTTTTAGTAGAGGTTTTACGGTGCTCGCAACTGCATAAGGTCATATGAGCGCAAGAAGATTAGAGGTGTTACAAGAGAGTAGCAAACATAAAAAAGAAGAAGGTAAGATAAGGATGATAGATGTTTGATAGGAAAGAGGAAGCAAAACACACCAGAGCATCCACCAACGTCCCACAAGAAAGAAGGAAGAGAGGCACAACTTGAGGCAGAAAAGTGTTTGTTTATCTATTTCTAATTAGAGGAACAATGGAAATGTCATAAATCGGTAATTCAGAAAAAAAAAAAAATGAGGCTATAATAAATACTTTTTAAATGCCATCCGATGTATTGCCAAATTCTGGGGAGGAGGCTTATAAAGTAATTATGATCAACCAAATAGTTATGGCTCATAAATGAGACAATAATCAAACAGCTCATTCATATTTCACACCTGACTATAGTTTGGATTACCTTGGTTCACATCCCCAACTTAGGTTGTTTAAGGAGTTTTCATGGCTCTCCATCCAACTATTTCAGTCCCACTCAAGATGGTGTTAAATTCAGAGGTCCTGTCATATAAGCAAACTTATAGTTTTGAAAAGGGCCAAAATGAGAGTTCGCATAATGTTATGGTCAATTTCCCATTTTCTAATGTATCGTTAATTTAAATGGAAAAGAAATATATGTATACATATCAACAGCTATTTATTTGAATAGCATCTAACCAAAAAGCAAAACAAGTACATCTATTTTTCCTGACCTGTGTTCAACAGCCTCCAGTACGAGATCATCTGCCTTAGGCCCCACAGTAAAACACTCTCTGATCCACAACGACTGATGCTGCCGATCTTCATCTCGTAAACACCTCATGATGCTGCTCTTCACAAACTCAAAAATCTGGGGAATGAAAGAAGAAAGCAAGATACTGAATTCATCACAGGATCATTTACAGTCAATTATGCTCACAAAAAGAGTAGTCCTTTTGCAACACTCCAAAATAAATGTAAAATCAAGACATCAGAACAATGAAAGAGAAGAAGAAAAAAATAAGCTACTTCACACATTCACGGCTACTGTAACTTTCCGAATTTGGGTTGAACAAAACTCAGTAATACAGAGATTGGATTTCATTTTACTTTTTTTCTGATCTACTATCTCAATGTCAAAAATAGATCTTGTGGCAATGTCAAGCTTCAGACATTTTCTAGACATTTCAACTACGGGCTTGCATTCAAATTTAACTGTTAACAGCATTGACATAATTTTCAAGTACATCTTAACATCCTGTGTGTGATATTTCAAAAGGGATGAGGGATGTCGACAATGAACTCTAGCCAGAATGAAACACACACCCAAAGGGGGAACTTGATCGTACAACTTTCTAAATGGTTACAGGTACAAACTAAAGATGGCCTAAAACAATCAACAATTACATGCTGCTTTCATGTTAAAATCAAAGAGAATCACAAAGTCCCTTATGTGGTGACCTCACGCCTCCATTGTAGCATTACGTTCTTATGGAAGAAGTACACAACATACCAAAATCACAGTTAACCACAACAGAGCTATAGATCATACCTGCTCTTCAAACTGATGTAGTTGTGAAATTGACAGCAGCAGGGAGAGATTGAAGGCTGAAATAACTTTGGCCGGGTCTGACTGCTGGAGAATCTGTAGTAAAACGAACAGTCATGTTTAACTTTAGTAACAACTGACTAAGAAAAAGTAATACATGTATTTGGGGGGAAAATAATGATTAGAACAAGTTGCGTTAATTAAAGTCTTTGAGGTACATTTCAGATGAGAAGGTGCAATGGCATGTGCTATATTCAAACATAAAATAATAGACTTGAAGTGAGTTTGTGAAATTGTAGATATATTAACCCCTTTGCTGCCTTATGACGTACCTGTTACATCACAAAAATGTGTAATTTTAAGCTTTGTGCCTTACCGTGGGTGTGACGGAAATTAGTAAAATTTGTCGCTCCTGGCTTGCTATATGACGTAACAAATATGTCATGCTAATCAACTGGTGCAAATTCTTCTGTACAGAGTTTTAGCCACAAACAATACGTGGAATTGTATTCGAGAATAAAAGATGAGCCTATCTGTACCAAATTTGTAGTATTACTTTACTGCAAGGCTTAATAGCGATAGATAAACACAGATCTAGTCTTGCAGATGGCTGCATGCTCTCGCAAAACATTAACACCAAAATTACTTTAAAAAGGAAGAAAATTTCACTTTTATATTTTACATTAGCAAGTTATTTGAAATAATGAAATTAAATAGAGAAAAGTGACACGATCAAAAGACCCGAGGTCAGAAATATGTCATGAGTGGGCCAGATCTAGACCGCGGGCCCATTAACACTGAGACATGAGACTGCTGTCCTGGGAAACGAGCTTAGCTAGAAATCGGTGCTGACAGTAGGAACACATACTCCCAGGCGACAAGAGGGTAAAACTGAGTGATACTGTGTGCTATGTCACAAGATATGACTTGTGAACTCAGGTAAACAAGATGTAGAATATGCCATTGTTGCACTTATCTCTAATATTATGGAATATGAAAATTGTCTCGTATTTTTCTTTCCAAGATCAGTAAAAGCCATTTTGTCGGAATCAGTATACTGTATTCTTTCTTTTAAACTGGGAACAGCAAGTGCATATTAAATTAACTTTTAAAAAAGACTTCAAAATAGTGTGGACAAAACATTTAAAGTTTAATCTCTATTATCACACCTGTATGAGCTGCCTTTTATCAGAGTAAATCCAAGACAGGAAATGTGATACAAAGCAATCTTAGAAGATAAAAGAATTACTTTTTAATAGTGCCTTGTCAAAAAATGATAACATGCGAGTCTGAAAGCTCAAGATACCTTGACGTATTTGATCAGCTCTGATCCGAGTTCCTGGTTCTGCTTCACAGCTTGCATGATGTGCAGGATAACTGTGCCTTCAATTTGTCTTAGTGTGGTCAGGCATGTGGTTTCAGACATCAGATCTTCACTGAAATTTGATTAAATATGAAGAATCATTGGAAATGAATTGCAAACCATCATTTATTTTGGAAAACTCCAAGGCAGCATTTATTAACACAAAAGTTAGGGCTCACAAGTGGGCTACAAAAATCCTTCTACTGAGCAATTAATGTACTACTGGTAACCGTGTTAAGCTATACTTCAGGTCTATTTTCATTTTAATGAATTTTGTCAAGAAGTCCCATGAATACCTTCAAAAATGAAAAGTGATTCTAAGAGTTGTAAGATGTTCAGAACCCTCTATCTTATGAGTTAGAGAAAGACAAACTCAAATCTTATTACGATTTTAGAAATTGAAAGTATTCTGAAAATGTAGTCGATTGTGTTGTTCTTTTGGTAATTAAACACAGAAATCCAAATCATCCGATAATATCTTATGTAATCAAAGCTTCAAGTTGAGAAACTACTCTCGTAAACTCCTCACTAACTGAACTGTCATCTCTCTTGTCATCTCTACGTTGACATTTATTGTTCTTGTAGTCCATTTAGCAGCCCGCATGCTTGTGTGTTTTAAGGCCAGAGACAAAGTACAGCGGTAGGAACAAGGTGTGATGTGACTGAACAATTGTCTTGTGCCCTGTAGAGTATTGTCTTTGTCTGCCTGATGGGGAAGAAGTCAATATCTTCTGTCTGTCGGCTAAACAGTACCAGTAAACAAAAGAGGGAGGTAATCTTACCTCCTCATGTTCTGAATGTCATGACAAGCAAAAATAAGACCATAACATTAAGAAATACAATTCAGATGTACAATTTGAAGGAAAAGTTATTACTACATCAAAACAGTTTACTTCCACACACCTGTCAATAGTGATGCTGCGTCCTCTGTTTTTTTCATCTTCAGCTGTAAAATGCTTCATGATCCCTTCCAAGACAAGTCTCTTGTGTCCCTGTGCAAAAGAAAGCAATGTGCGTCACGCGGACTAAAAATATGAAAATTGGGCAAAAGTCAAGAGAACATTCCCCATTTGACTCAGTATGTATATCAAGGGGCTAACACTCTCCGTACATTTCAGGCCGCTGTTTTGAATACCTTACTTTTTTAGTTACCAAGGTATTTTCTCGTGACATGGGCAAAATGGTTTTTATTCGATCTATATCACGGTAAAGTCTGTTTGCCTAAAAATTGTCCATGCTTTGGACCAATCTGGGTGCGTGTGTGTGTGTGTGTGTGTGTGTGTGTGTGTTAGGGTGGCATGCTCCCCTAAGGTAAAAAAAAATAATTTTGTGGGGTTTTTAGGAGGCACCCCCCAAAAAAAACAACTATTTCCCCCCATAATTTAATGTTTTGTAAATAGGTTTGAAATTTTCTTGAAAATTATTAACATGCAGCAGTTTTAGAGGTCATATGTGTGATCTGCAGCAAAAAATTGAGCTGCTGACTCCCAAAAGCAGTGCATCTGTATGTGGGAATAAAAGTTAAAATGAAAGCTGCCCTTGTTCCCCATTGCTTGTATAGGGAGAGAACAAAGTATCACTAAGACTACATGAGCAGAAGAGTTCTCGTTGAGTGATGTTCTCTTGATTTATATGAAAATTGCGAAGAGTATAGAGCCTACTTTATAGTAAGCTTAAGTGCTAATGCAATTATTATTATCAACTAAGATCCTGTCATATGTCTAGATATGCCACACATCAATAACACTAATTAAACTTAAAATCCTCGTATGAACATTCAATGGATAAAAAAACCCACACAGACAATACTAAGCAAATGTTAACATTACAAGCCAAAAAAAGTTTTCTTTAAAAAAATCCAAAATTGAAAAGAAGTAGGAGTCAAGGAAAAAATACCTTTGCAGACAACAAAAGCAACTGAAAAGTGACAGCAGGCTGGTCTGCCAAATCCAGTTCTCCGAAAAGTCGAAGGATTTTCTCCAGGACAAACTTAAGTTCTTCCAAGGTAAGGGGAACATCATGAAACAGGGCAGCCATGTGCAAAGTCACAGAGGGAGCCCACCTGCAGAGGTAGAGTAAAGTTCCAATGACTACCAAAGATGGAAATTACACATACAGTTGAATCAGCCATGACGGCCACATATAATACGGCCATGTGTACAAACGATCACTTTTCATCCCCCCCGCCACCTCTTGTGTTTTTTTCTATAAAACTTTCACTGAGTTAAACAGTCACCTGTCCAATGTAGTCACAGCCACCATATTTTATAAACAAATAACTAATAATACCTAAGATGGCCATGCACTCTAACTGCCCGATGCTTTGTCATAAATTATGTATTGTCCCCTGATGCTGTAGACGAACCGTCTTAATCCATTCACCTGTCGTTATTGTTAGTAACTCCAAATAATGAAACAATCATATGTTGCATAAGTCCCTGTGGAAATCTGAGGTTGAATCCTGTGCAATTGCGAATGTCAGTGAGTATGTAGTGACTGTCCCATAGGGGAAAGTTTGTTCTGTTTGCGAGGATCTTAGATGTGAAGTTTGCACAAGGATAAATCATAACTGACCTGCTTGAACAAAGGCTGTTGATAATGTGACCTTTAAGTTCTGTTCCCTTTATGTCACCCTCTCCATGAGGTAGTTTCTCACAGTCATTGATAAGAGACAGAATGCTTGGAAGCAGTTCTGCAACTCTGCAAAGAGGTTTATGGCAGTGAATTAGAAGTGATGAAGATGAAGTGGCTAATAGATATATACATATGAAATGTTCTTGAAAAATATAGTCTACGCATACTGGTTTCAAAGAGAAGGACATCGACGCAGTTATGGTTATTTAGTGCAGTGAAAGAATAAGACAGACTGACAGAATCAACAGATGGAAAGCAAATAATAAGACGATTCAGAGGCAGACCCCCTACATTTCAGCAGGAAAAGTTCAAGACAATAATAAAATTTAAAAGAATGAGTAGACCACGACTAAGCATCCACTAACCACTAGCAGCCTGTATAAGCAAAATACATTTTTAAATTATCAATTAAAAAATTGAGTCATATTGTTTATAGCAAGGCAACACACGGATAACAGCTGCATTTCTCTAGGAAGTGTGCATACCAGCAAGCACTTGCACTACCCACAAAATGTATACATATATACATATAGTGTATTTAAAAGCAATAACAACAGACTTTTTTTTCACTAAGTCTCTGAATGAAGGACCAGCACAGCTCTATATTTTCTTTGTAAGAACTGCGGAGTACTGGATTACAACACAGCACTTACTTCCCCACGCCAGATGGCTTAATGGGCAGTGAGTAAGTAAGTAACTTACTTCCCTCCATTGTATGATCCATTCTTGACTGAAGCAACAAATGAGTTGGCAAGGTCACTGAGGCACTTGGGTTGCAGATACTCCAACTGAAACAAACAGACAAGGCTCATTTTCGTTAACATTTCTCCGGCATGAGTTCTATCCTTACGTCAGCATCTAGGCATGAAAAAAATGACCCAAACTCTTCACAGCACTGTGGCTTCTTAAAAAACAATGGGAATGAGATGCCATGCAGTGTCTCTCGTAAGACAGTAAAGGATACTGATACTTATGGAGGAGTAGTATTAAAGTTTACAAACCTACATGTATAATATTTGACAAGTGCAATCTGCAATTCATGCACATATTTTTATTATTCAGAAGGAGCTACATGCTTGTGTGTGCATTTCAAAAGGAAAGATATCAAACAATACAAAACAAAACTATAAGAGGAAACAAATTGTAAACACAAACACCAGTCACTTGGTAAAAGTGTGTATTTCATCCCATTGAAATTATCAAGTCAAAATTATACTGAATACACACACACAATACAGTGTGAGCCAGATATATATTACAGACAACACCTCTTATCCTGTTCAGTCTGAAGTAAGTCAGCTAGAGAAGAGTTCATACCGTCTCATAAATAATTTCTTAAAAATGAACTTGAAAACAAAATAAAACAATAATCACACCCCCCCCCCCCACCCCCCCTAATTCGAACAAAACTTGATAAAAACAAAAAAAAACCTCACCTTGGGTAACCCCCCCCCAATCCGGTGGGGCCCGAAAGCAGTTTTTAAGAGGTTGATTTTTTCCTTTTCCTTTTGAAAAAAACTCCCCAAGAAAAGGTTCCACCCCCTCTAAAAAAAATTTTTTAAAAAAGAACCTGAAAAAAAAAAAAAACCAAAATTCCCCCCCCCCCCCCCCCCCCCCCCCCTAAATCGAACAAAACTGATAAAACAAAAAAAACTCACATTGGTAAGAAGAGTGCTGACAATACTGAAAGCAGTTTTAGAGTTGATTTCATTTTTCTGCAAAAGCTTGATGACACTTGAGTAAACCTCGGAGCAGCGCTCAATACTTTGTTCTTCCTCAGACTGGGAAGCTGAAAAAGTAAATGGGAACAAAATTTACTAAATATGTATGTACGGCTACCTCATTTACAGTAAACATTTTCAAATGTTGATCAAAGCAAAGCTAATTTCTGGTTCTCCAGTTTCTGAAGGAATTTATAAGTAAAATGGGGTCATCTTGACTCTCCCATCACAATATAAACGGATACAAAAAATGATTTATCATAAAAATTTCATTAAAAAACACATCTATGTTTATCACATATTTTATATATACAACTTCCTCTAGCAACAATAGAACCATCAATTTTGTACTCAAATTAATTTCATGAACATATTTTTGCCAGCTCATCCACTGACACTCCACGTCATCATTTTATCATATTATGATCCAGCAAGCTTTAAACTCATCCACATAAGTCATAAGTCATGTTATAAGAGAGTCACACTGCCAATAATATTATTGAATATACCTCTACAATCCAAACATTCTCAAAAATAAAAACCAGCCACAAATGTTCGAGGTTTCGGGAATCGCAGGGTCAGGTCGGGACAATATTTTAAGTCATGCGGCCCCTGACAACCTAGTCCTCCATTTGGAACCGACCAGATACTCATTCTCTATGCAATCTATCTGTTTCTTGTTGGACGAATACTAGTATTAGTTTAGTACAAAATTTGAGAGACAGAAGACCTGAATTTCTCTACTATTGACCATCTCTATGATTTCTTCCTTACAAGTACACAATGTGAACACAGGCTTTGTGTAGCCCTTACTTGATTCTACTGCAAGCAGATTTGTGTAGTTAAATTCTAAAATATATTGGAGTGGGCAGCGAAACTCAGCAACCATTAGGAGTATAAAACAATATCACACACATAGAAAAATGCTCTGGTTCTGGCATAGGGTCATGTTGAGGTGTAGTGATTATAATCATAAAAACATCCAGGAGACATGTAGTAAGTTATATATGTTTACTAATTTTAAAATTGTTTCGGTGTCAGACCTGTGACAATACATTGCACAAGAGGCACTGGGTCAGAAGCTCCTTTCAGGATGAAAGAAGTGATACATTCTGTGACCTGCAAAAGAAATGTAAGAATTTAAAAGCAAACTAATAAAATTTATTTAAATATAAATATGTTCCACTCGAATAGGCCTCAATACAATTATTTGTACTCTCTCTCTATATTTATATTTTATATATTTTGATTTTAAAAGTTAGAAGTAATTTTTTAATCAAGAAAAACATTCAAAGCTGTCAGGTTCCGTTCCCAACCTATGGTCCTATGGGTCTTGATGACATGTCCAGTAAGGGTTTAGACCTTAATTAGAAAAGGCCAAGAGAGTGGAAGAGCAAAGTAAGAAAGAGAGGACACTCTACTCTGATAAAGTAACAGGTCCCTCCAGTTTCATGGCACAGTGCACTTGTAACAGCTGAGATGAAAGGCGTTACTGGGAATAGACTCCCCATAATGTCTACTGGTTTTGGGAGTCGACAACCCATTGAATCAGTTGATGTTATTGGGAGTCACAAAAACGCAATTATTTTTGGCGCTTTTCGGTAGTTCCCACCCCGCAGTTGTTATTCGCCAGTTTTGGCCCCAAGAGCAGAGGGGTTTCAGGGGGGCATGCCCCCCTGAAATTTACCACAATTTAATGTTTTGCAGTTGTTAGGTTTGATATCTTAGCTTGCCGTGCATCAAACGTATAGCCTAGATCTAATCTAGATCTAGATGTAGATCTAGGTCAGGCTCAAATAAGGGGGGTGGGAACTACCGAAAAAGCACCTTATTTTTTACCTCGAAGGGTTAAACTTTCGAGGTTCCTTTGCAAAATTACGAAAGTAGATTTGATCGGCTAAAAAAAAAAAAAGATAAACAAAAAAGTAAATTTCGGAGTCGAATCTAGAGCTACCTAGGGGGCTCTCGTGGCCTAGAGGTTAAGGTGTTGGCCTCTCATTCAAAGGTCCCGGGTTCGATTCCGGGTAGCGACAAAAAAATTTTCTTCTCTAAAATTGTCTCCTTTCACATCCTTTCCTGATCTCTAACAATGTTCTGTTGTCTGCTTTCATTTCCACTTTCTGCCCCCACCCCCTCACCTCCTTTGCCCCCTCCTCTGGGCTCCTGACTCTTTCTGCAGCCTTTCTACTGCTACTCCTTGGCTCCTCCTGACTGCTGTCTTTCTGCCACACCCCTGATCTTCTGGTAGGAAAGATCTACACCTAGCCTTCTCGGACAAGGGCGAAAAATCTCGGAGGGCCCGTGTGCAAGTTGCGCACGTTAAAGATCCCTTGGTGGTCTAAAATCGATAAGAGTAGGCTTCGGCCACCACCCTGGCAAAATTCAAAATTTCCTACCAACGAAAAAGTATTAGGTGTGTCCCGCACGTTCATATGACCTTATGCAGTTGCGAGCGCCGTAAAACCCTATACTAAACAAACAAACAAACAGAGCTACCTAGTTTGAGTTGCCACCGTGGATAAGCGCGGCTTTCTCCATACCGGTCTACCTTTGTTGTTTCATTTTGTTTTTTTCGTGTGCTCGTGTCGCGGTAAGGGAGGTAGAGAAAAAAACCAAACAAATAATGATTTCATTTCGCCCCCCAGACTCCTCCAGGCACTACTTGTATATGGTGGTACCGACTTTGGACAGGGAAATATAACCCAGAGAAAATCTAGAATCTAGTTTTGACCCCAACGACGATTACTTCTGATTCTAAGTCTAAACGATTACTTTTTTTTTTCGCGTGCCGATATGGAGAGACAGCCTTTCAAACCTAGATCTAGATTAGATCTAATTGCAAAACATCAAATTGTGGTCAAATTCAGAGGGGCATGCCCCCCTGAAACACCCCATGGGTTTTTTTTAAAGTCAGGGGGGCAACCCCCCCTTGCCTTGTGAAAAACAAGTGAATTATACTGCTCATTTTGTAGGCTAGATTTAGATCTACGGTAGGCCTACTTAAAACATTGATACAGACTATTTAAATCAGTATCGATATTTCAGTAGGCTTACACAAAAGTCAGGACCACCATATCCAAGTAGTGCCCTCCTCCACCCCCCCCCAATAAAAAAGCCTGTAGCTATGCGTACGGCCCTAGATTCTAGAATCTAATAGATTTAGTAACATACATCTTGTGTTGTTTTGGAGTCCAGGAAGGTCTTGATCTCTTCCCTCTTTCCACCTTTCACTAATCGTAAAATGTCACGATCCATTGTTTTGTGTTTTGCTGAAACAGCAATGCTGCAGACTACACCACAACAGATTCAGCAGTCAGCAAAGCAATCAAAATTTAGCGCGACGGCATTTTCTTCCGGGTTATCTCGCGTCCGGTTGATATTTTTTATTTTCTATTGTTTTGTTATGAAGTCGGGCTAGATCTCGGCCTAGGCTTAAGTGAAAAATAGTTGTTTGTGTAGACAGCACAGCGTCTGGCCCCGGCTAATAACAGACCGAGCAGGGAGCAGGGGAAAGGAAAGCGAAAGTTGAACAACGCGAAGTGTGAACTTCTTGAGACCTGACGGTGACTATTGAACAGTGCCTGTGACTTTTGGATTAGCCACAAACCCGTCATGACATCAGAAGACGAGGTAAATATTATGTTCTAGTGAACGAGGCGAGGTAGATCTAGATTCTAGATCTAAAAACAAAAAGTCTAGATCAAGATCTAGATCTATCTAGATCTAGATCTAAATAGTCTTAAATAGATCTAGATCTAGATCTAGATCTAGATATAATCTACTATAATCTAATCTAGATCTAGATTAGTTCTAGATATCTAGATCTAGATATATCTAGATCTAGATTTTCTAGATCTAGATCTATCTATAGCTATAGCAGACAGATCTAGCAAGGAGGGCAGGGCAGGGTCTACCGTCGTGAATTAATTTCATTTATATTTAGGCCACCTCTATTCTCACCGGAGTGAGAATAGTGCAGGCGAGTCTTGTGGCTATTCTCACCCGGTGCTTGTTCGGCTCGATTCGAAAAGTTAAATAGCCGTAGCATATTTGTAGACAACCAAATTAATTTACTTTTGTGTTCTAACATCATTTTTTAACTTTGTTTTTGGTCAATTTGATCGTCCACACCGATAGACAGTATTCAGAAAGAGACAGAGAGAGAGAGAGAGAGAGAAAAGGGGAGGAGTTGATCTTGCGAGAACTTCCGGGCGGGTGAGAATAGCCACTTTCTTATATTTATTATGTATGGTATGTCTTGTTTACCTACTCTCGGCCGGTAGAGTCCGCTGTTTGGATATACAACTGAAACAAGGTAGGCCCTCTAGCAGGTATATAATATCGAATCCGATAGATCTTGGGGCGATTGTCAAGATTTCCGCGTTTAATTCCGATGTGCGTCTTTCATAGCCTCAGGTATGTTTCGCTTTGGTCCCTAACCCTAACCCTAACCCTAACCCTGACCCTAACCCTAACCCTAACCCTAACCCTAACCCTGACAAGGTTAGGGTTAGGGTTAGGGACCAAAGCGAAACATTCCTGAGGCTATAAAAAACGCACATCGGAATTAAACGCGGAAATCTTGACAATCACCGATCTTGGCCCTCTAGCGGGTATATACATGAAAGATCTAGATCTATATCTAGATCTACTGTCAGTACTGTAAACTGTGTGCTTTAATATTTATTATGCAATACACATAAATAGGCCATAGGAGGACCCCCCTGACTGAAACCCTTCCCACTACCGACCCACTCCACAACTATATGTACTCGGTCATCAGGGGGGAGACCCCCTGAAACCTCCCTTAATGACTACAAAAGCATACTTATTTCGGAGTGATTATTCTCACCCGGGGTGAGGATAAACTGGATTATATTATTATCACCCGGGGTGAAAATAAATTATTGATACTATTCTCACTCCGGCCCCGGGTGAGAATAACGAAAGCCTGCTATTCTCACCCGGTTTTTCCGTTTCGGGCATCATAGGACCCCTGTCACTGAGCACTCCAGGCGACAAAACTCGCCTCCCTCTCCTCTCACTCCGCTGAGCGCACGAGGCGATTAAAATCACCAACGGGCGGGCCAGCTCCCGAGCGCGGGAGGCGACTATTGTCAATTTAGGGGAAAACCTTATCTTTTGACTAAATAGCGTCACCTTTTCTTGCTACAGTATTAATTTATTGGTTCTGTAATTGGAAAATTTTACTCTTGAACGGTTTAATCAATCAATATTAAGAAAAAAAAAAAATAAGCCTAGGGTCAAGGCACTTCGTTCCTTATAAAATAATCGTGGCTTCTGCTAGTGGATAAACAATTAAACATGTTTTTTGTGTTTTGAACAAATGCCAATTCTAATATTACAATGACGAATTATACTAACATTATTTCATCAAACAGCATTCAGTTAAGGCTATTATTTTTAAAAACATACTACTCTCAACTTTAGATTTTTGAAAATGAAACAATAACAATCCCCGCGGGAGCCTAGAAAAATTGGCCAGCGCTCTGGGCCTGGGGCAGGTCACGAACTGTCACTCTCTTATAATTCACAAATTATTTTTCTATCATCCATTCTCAACGCCCAGGTAGACCTAAAAATCCATGGTGAGATTAACAAATATAATATTATTCTCACCCCAGGTGAAAATAAAATGGATATTATTCTCACCCCGGGCGAGAATAAAATTATTATATTTTTATTTTCTCCTCGGGTGAGAATAACGACCGCCTACATATATTTACCCCCCCAAAATGCCTTAAACTAAGCCTACTAAAAAAAACCCTGACCTTTTTCGTCATTCGATGGCACTATAGGGGTGAATGAGCTACCTTTCCGTAGTGGATGTAACACGAAACGGGAATAATTTTATAAAAGTACACAAAAACATAAAAGCGGACCATTGCACAGCTAGGCTCAAAAGTAGTTCTGGTTTCGTTCAGTGTTGGGTCCACCAGAGTTCAATCTTACGGTACTTTCTAGCCAGGCTTAGGTGCTATTTGCTTTCACAGACATTTTAGATGTCACGATGCGGTGGAATCAGGCGCTCGTCAGTTTTTGCAGGACTATGTCTTTTTACCAAAACTCACAGGAACTCACCAACAAAACTCACAGAAACTCACCCAAACAACGCTACTAGATGGGAACATTTTTAAAATACTGTTCTAATAAATAGAGACAATGTCAATATATATATATTTCAAATGAAATGTTTGTGAGATATTAAAACATACTATATGAAACAATCATTCAGTAAAGAAGCTTAAATATTTTAAGTTTACAAAGCAATTTATGAGAATAAATGGTTTTACGTCCACAATGAGAGAGAGTTCTAAAGAGAAAGAAGAAGATACAGATAGACAGATGGACCGAGAGAGACTGAGTGAGAGAGAGAGAGACAGCGTGGCTTAGTGGTCTCTATGCGTTTGATTTGTACTCGCGTGGCCTGAGTTGGAATCTGTGTGGGTCACGGTCGCTTCGTTGTTTAGCCCTTAGGGAAGGTTATATTTATTAAAATTATAATAAATTGTATTTATATAGCGCATTTCCACAAAGAAGTGCTCAATGCGCTGTACAATAATACAAAGAACATATGAAGCGCACAGCTCCTCTATAGTAATCCTCTTTCTCTCTCTCTCTCTCTCTCTCACTAGTCTCACTCTGTCTCTGTCTCTCTCTCTCTCTCTGTCTCTCTGTCTCTCTCTCTCTTCTCTCTCTCTCTCTCTCTCTCTCTCTCTCTCTCCAGTACACCCTTGAGTATTTACACACATTTCCTCACTCAGACAGACAGAAAGACGGACAGAGAGAGAGACAGGGAGAGAGAGAGAGAGAGAGAGAGAGAGAGAGAGAGAGAGAGAGAGAGAGACAGACAGACAGACAGACAGACAGACAGACAGAGAGACAGAGAGAGAGAGAGAGAGAGAGAGAGACTCTAAATTGATGTAGATGGGCACTTTTTGACATGAAGGGAAATCGAGGAGGAGGAGAGGGAATGATGACACGAAATGTAGCGCTTTCAGTACTTTAGTATGGTACTTAACATAATCTCATATTTGAATCATAGAAGTAAAGTAAAGCTGGGCAGCTCCAAGTCCAAACTGATGAGGCGAGTGAACTAGCTCTATATATAAAGGTAGCAAAAAATTCAGAAGGCCCACTTTTGATGGGTTTCGGTCACGCAGTCATTGACAGTTTCGGTGAGTTTTGTTCGTGAGTTTCGGTAAGTTTCGGTCAGAAGACATAATCAATTTATAGACATACGAGGAGTTATTATATCAGTATCTTTTTAAAAGTTGTTCATTTGTCTTGCTTTTGGTTAAAAAAAAATTACTCATATCATGAATAGAAGTCGAGATATTTGCGATTGAAAGAGGTGGGGGTCGCCTGGTTTCATAGGTAAAATTAGCGAGAAAATGACCCCCAAAGTTTGGTGACTTCCAAAGCTTGGGGGTCCTTAGAATAAGAAACTGCAAATTTACACTTTTGTGCCTTAAATCAACATTTTTTTCTGTAAAATCCTCACAGAAATGTGTTTTTAATTTTTAATGGACTTTAAAGGTGTTGAGTCAAAAAAAAAAAAATTCTATAAAAATTGCCAGACGGACAGAAAAATGTCAATTTCTTCGATTTCATTATTTTGACTAGCGCCTGATTTCACCGTGATACCTCAAATATTGATTTCTAGGCCTAGCATAATTAAATTAGTGACACAGCTGAAGTCTCATCATTGATCATGTCAATCATCCCAGTAATAGCTGTACTCTTGACACGCTACTACTACTCACCAATCTCCAGTTTGTTTCGGCCCCAACCAGAGTGACTGGGCTATTGATTGCCTGGTTACTTTAACCCTATCCGTACGTCGTGTTTTATTATCGTATCCATACTACTTGGGGAACTCTGTGCCACCACTTTCCAAAGAGGGAATTTACTCGTTAATCCTATCTGTAGGCTTTGAATAACTGTCTGTCTAAATGATTTTTTAAGAAATACTGAAAGTTTCAAAGAGATCTTCGTACTAGAAGTATTCTAAAATGTGAAGAATACAACCCTGGGGGTACAAAATGATCCCAGGGCATACAGATTGGGTTAAACTTACCAATTTGACTCTTTCATTGCGAAGAGATGTGTTCCTACTCAGCACTGATTTTCAGCTGAGCTCGTTACCCCTGACAGCAGACATAACATCTCTCAGTGTAGACTCGCAGTCTATCTAGTCCACACATGACATATTTTGAACACCAGGTCTTGGATCATGTCACTTTTCTCACTTCCCTCATTCCGTATAGGCTTATCCCCCCCCCATTTTACTCATAACTTTGAATTGCTTTCACTTTCAATCAAAGTAAAAAAGTGAACTTTTCTGCCTTTTAAAGTCATTTTGGTGTTTCCGTTTGCAAGAGCACACGGCAGTCTGTGCGACTAGATCTATATGTTTATGGATCACTTGCAAGCCTTACAGTAAAATACTAGAATATTTGGTACTGATATGCATGTTTTTTATTCCTGAAATCCACATAGTAATTGTGGCTAAAACTCTGTACAGAAGAATTAGAACCAGATGATTAACAGGACGTACATGTAATGTCATCAGGAGTGGCAAATTTTGCCAACTTCTGTGGCGTCCATGGTATGGCACAAAGTTAAAAATCACACATTTTCATGATGTACCAGGATGCCATAAGGCATCAATAGTGTTAATTAAGGGTTAGGAGGGTTAATTATGTTAGTAGGATAGTACAATAAATCGTTGGGGCCAAAACCGAATTTTCATGTGAAATAGAATTATAGTGATTGAGTATTGATGGGAGCAATTGCAAATGGTAACCATATAATGTGTTAGTCCAAAATGACTATTTTCAAGGAAACTGCATGACAGTGTGCTGTTTTTAGTTTTTGTAAGTGTTTTACGGCACTTGCAACACAACAAGGTCATATAAGTGTCAAAGATTAGAGGTGTTACAAAAAAGTAACAAACACAAAAAAGAAGGAGGGGAGATAAAGACGATAGATGTTTGATAGGAAAGAAGAAGCAAACTACACCAGAGCACCCGCCAACCACCCACTGACAGTGTGCAAGTGTCAGTCAAAGTCTATTAATTTAGTATCATTCTTGTCTCATGCTAAGGAATTGTTCATAATATTATGCACTTTGCTTGTTCTTTTAAAATCTGTTTAACATGAATTTTGAATTTATATCTGTGGCAAATCACTATTTTATAAAGATATATTCAAAAGATGTTTTTATATTTGGATCATAATGTCATATTGCACTTGAGGCCTAATTGCGTTGTATTTAATAACAGTTAGGTGCACCCCCTGTATTTTCCCATATATATGATCATTTGCTTTTGGGGATTGAGATTTTCTCTAAGACCATTCATTTGCTATGGTTTAAGTGGCTATCTATGTTTGGCAACTAAAAATGTATGTACTTGGCCCTTCAACGTACTACATCTGCATGCGGGAGTGACAGTAAAACGGTGTCAGGCATGCAAGAAATGGTGTGCTTGTCTCATGTAAACATATGTATTTTGTAATTTTTGCTTTATGAACCAACACCTGACATGGTGCAAGAGGGTTTTTCCAAATGATCTTTTTAGACAATATATAGAATCTGACCACATTTCAGACAATAAACTTTGCAGTTGTTACTGTCAATATACAAAAAGAAGTTTGTATGCCATGTGCAGGGGAGGTGAAAATATAATCATTTCTCCTGATGTTATCTTTGATTTGAAATGGTTTTGTTTTCCTCTTTGGTCTCTATATTCGAAACAATCAGCTTTAAATCTGCCATTTTTTGTTGCTCTCTTCTCTTATCCATATAAAGCTGCAAACTTCAGTTATTTAAGTTAAGCATACAATGATTTGTGGAAGGAAGCATTGTGGAATATTGTAACAACAGGCAAGTTAGATGGAAAGAGAGGCAGACAGAGGGAAAAGATACTTGACAAGATGACAACATGGCTGGGAACAGTAAGAACGACAGACACCATCGCTGCAGCACAAGACAGAGTGAAGTGGAGGTCCATGATCGCCCGGCCTACGCCAGTCGGCAAGGCACCGGATGATGATGATACTTAAATTTGGAATATTATCTGTGAAAATATTTTAAAATATATTTTTGTGTAATTATGACCCACTCTTTTTTTACTTCATTTTTATATCAGGGTGAGGAGTTTAGACTCCAAGCAAATTCAGAATTGCGGTTTGAAGTGGAGTCCAAGGCTTCAGTTGAAATAGAGGTGAGTGTCATTATTTTATACAGTTTAGTCTTTGTGTGTATTTTTTATTTTACCTACCTCAGTGCTCAATCCACATCTGCAATATTTCTGTCACTTTTTATTTCACCCTGAAAACTGATTTTTTTTACTTCTTCCTTCCTTCAACACAGCTACGACAATTACTGTTGATGCTTATATTAATTATTAACTTATACGAGGGGGGTTCAAGAAGTCTTTGGTCTAAATGTGAAGGAATAAAGATACAGCTTTGTAACTTGGCACACATATTTTCATTTCTTTACATAGTCACCATGCAGAGTAACACATTTCTGCCACCTCTCTTTGACCTTCAAAAGTCCTTGAGAAAAAAATGCCCCAGAATGGGCCCCTTAACAGTCTTCCACAGCTTCAATAGCGTCCTCCTTGTCATGGAAACGACGTCTTTTCAGTGATTTTTCAAGATTAGGAAACAGACAAAAGTCTGAAGGGGCTAGGTCTGGTAAATAAGCTGGGTGTGGCAGGATTTGGAAGCTGCACTGTTCTGCTGTCTGGACTGTTTGTTGTGCCCTGTGAACAATGGCGTTGTCATGCAATAGGAGGACCCCATTACAGAGTTTACTACACCTTTTTCTTAACAGCTTGGACCACAGTTTTGTCCGCAAACCTGAATAGTAGTCCCCTGTGACTGTTTTTCCATTTTCCAGGTAGTCTGTCATATTCATAATGATACCTTCACAATCCCAGAAACATGACAGCATGACCTTTCCACTTCATGATGTTACCTTTGCCTTCTTTGGTGAGGGAGAAGAACCATTGCATGGAGGACATTGTTTGTTCTGGATCAAAATGATAAATCCGTGTTTCATCCATAGTCATCATGTTTTAAAGGAAAATTGTGTCATTGGACTCAATTCAAAGGAGAGTTTTGCAGGACTCAATCCTCTGCTTCTTTTGGTCACTTGTCAAAAGGTGGGGTACCCTCCGCACAGACACCTTATTCATGTTAAGACGGTCACAGAGAATAGTTTCAATTGACCTTACACTGATTTTCGTTTCTCTTGAGAGCTGTTTAACAGTTATATATGTCGGTCTTGTAAAACCAGTTTCTTCACAATGGGTACATTTCATGGCGTTCTTTACTAACAGGCCTTCCCAGCGTACGGCTGAGGTCTCGGACTGGGGGCCTACGGTGTTTTCTGTAAGGGAGGCAACTGAAACATTAGACCCCCCTTCCCTCCCCCTGATTCCCGAGTGTCGCGTCGCCGCTTAGTCAGCCAATGACACTACTGACCTAGATAGCAGACCGACGTTTCTGCAAAAAAATATAATTAGTTTTTGCATCTTCATTTAAATGGACGCCTATACCCATTCTGCTTCTTGTATCTGCACTACAAATAGAATATTTCACTGAGGCAAACAGACGTAA